GATCACGGCCCGGAATCTCAACCAAAATCAAAGGCGAGGTGAAATCACTGTCTGCTTCGATGATAACACCTAGGTCGATCATGCGGCGAATTTCGGCCTCTAGTATCTCTCTCTGTCTAGGTGACACCCGATACGGCTTACAGCTGATCGGCTTGTTAACCGTCAGCTCAATGTCGTGCTTAATCACATCCGTTTTGCCTGGCTTCTCGGAGAAAACGGTAGCGAATTCCTGTACTAAAAGCTCTAAATCTTCCTCTTGAGCCTTACTTAGGGTGTTCCCTGTGTCTACCCTATCTGACAATGTGCTGCTGACCGTGCCATCGGAAAGACAAAGGATTTCCGCGCCCTCATCCTCAGGAACATTGAGTGCAAGGTTTACTACTGCTTTTCGTCGCATGTAGGGTTTCATTAGGTTACTGTGATACACTTTGGGGCATTTCCGGCCCCACTTTACCTCGTAGTTGGTGTCTGAAAGCACTGACATCACTGTCGCTGGTCCCTCCCATTGTACGTCCAGCTTGTTTTTTCTTGAAGGGCACAACAGCATCACCTCATCGCCCACTCTAAAGACTCGCTTTCGAGCTGACTTATCGTAACGGGCCTTGGAAAGCGCCTGTGCTGCGCGCATGTTGCTCTCCACCACTTCGCGTGTAGTCCCCAGACGCCCCAATAAATCCAGTACATAGGAAACCACATTAGGGTCCTCCCCATATCCAGTCCATGACTCTCGTATCAAGTGCAGCGGACCTCTCAAGTTCCTGCCGTAGACAAGTTCAGCCGGACTAAAACCCGTACTCTCGTGTGGGGCCGACCTCAGAGAAAACATCGCAGCTGGTATACACCCCTCCCAGTTACTTTTATGCTCAAAGCACAAAGCTCGCAAAACGCGTTTCATGACCGAGTGCATGCGTTCCACAGGGTTCGACTGTGGATGGTGAATAGAGCTATGCGCGATTTTTATCCCGCAGCGTTCTAGGAATGTAGTCGTAAGGCAGCTTGTGAACACACTTCCGTTGTCACACTGTATCTCCGAGGGAAAACCCACCCGAGAAAAAATAGACAACAATGCGTCCACCACGCATACTGAACTCAACTCTTTCAGTGCGATTGCCTCCGGGAACTTGGTGGCAACGCACAGCGCGGTCAGGACGTACCGATATCCTGATTTAGATGGAGGCAGAGGCCCCACGATGTCAATCACGAGCCGACGGAAGGGTTCTGTGATTATTGGCACTAGTTTCATTGGTGCCTTCCATTTGTCTGTTGATTTTCCTATCCGCTGACAAGTGTCGCATTCACGGACAAACATCTCTACATCCTTCCAGCACCCGGGCCAGTAGAACTCCTGAGCCAGCTTAGCTTTCGTTTTCTTTATACCTAAGTGGCCCGCCCAGGCGTTGCTGTGGGCCAGGTCGAGAATGTTCCGCCGGTATTTTAGTGGAACTACCACTTGGTTGTAGACCCGCCCTTTAGCGTTCTCATACCTGCGATGCAACACCTCGTTTTGGGTGTAGAACGAAACGTTCTTTCTAGAGTTACCTTCCTTATGTATGGCATCTAGCAGCATAGAGAGTGCGAGATCCGCCTTTTGATCGACCACTAGCGTTGCACGGTCGGTTCTGGCTAGCTGACACCAACTGGTGGACGCGGGTGTTAACACCGAGCCTGTCACCAAGTCCTCGTTTTCGGGCGTTAGAGATATTTCCTCGCTGTTGCCGACCATAGCCCCAGTTTCCGTCTCGACAACTCGCATGGCAGACTCATTTTCCGTCGCAACTACCTCAGGTTTTCCTACACTGCCCTCGGACGTCTGTTCCCCAGAGGGTGAGCTGCTCAGCTGTTGCGTCAGCTCGCGCGCCTTCGAACGGGTAAGGGCCATGCAAGCTATTTCGGTGGCAAATGATTCTCCACGTGTTTTTAACATTTCCTCAGACTTATTTGAAAATAGGTAAGGGAAGTGCTCCGGAAGGTTGGCTGAAATTGCTGCTTCCGTACACAATTGGCCGAAAGGGCCCTCGATTACAACCCTCGCTATCGGTAGGCAGACGCTTTGCTTTTCTGCCACTTGCCGAATCCAGGCACACTCTCCTATATAGTCTTCGGAAGATACGCAACTTGGATGCGCTACATCCATTGTGGCCGCCGAGTCCCTCAATACCCTACACATTCGGCCGTTCACTGAGAGTGTCCTCATGTAAGGCTTCAACAGCTTTAAGCTATCCTCTGACTCCTGAATTGTGGCAAATGCCATGTGCCTCTTACAGCTCCTGGCCATGTGGCCCTTTTCTCCGCAGCTGTAGCAAACAACTGGCTTCCGCGCTTCTAACGCATGCGCTATGTCACCAGGCGCCTTTGAACCTGATGAAGGTGCCGCCTTAGTCCCCTCACTGTCCTTTCCCTGCTGATTGTCTAATAACTTGGAATTTTCGGGTTTCCAGTTATTTCTTGCAAACCTCTTGCGTCCCTGGTTTCCCGACCAGCTTTCTACCTTTTCATTTTTTTCCGAAGTTCGTGGTGTACTGCGGAGACTACGGCGTGAGCAGTAATCTTCGGCGAGTTCTGCTGCCCTGTTCATGTCTACGTCTTTCATCCTATCCTGCACCCAAAGCCTTACCTCCTCGGGAATTCCCCGGTAAAACTGCTCAAGTACCATCAACTCAATGACCTTGTCATGGTTGCCATAGACTTGCGCGCTTTTGAGCCACTCTTCAAAGTTGGCTCTAATTTGGTAGGCATAGTCTGAATGAGATTCGTTGCCCCTCTTAGAGTGCCTGAACCGCAGGCGGAAAGCCTCTGTCGATAGGCGACATTTTCGTAGCAATGCAGCCTTTACCCTGTCATACACCTCGGAGTCCTCTTTATTCATTCTTGCGATAACATCGGACACTTCGCCTGGTAGTACGCATATCAGTTTTTGTGGCCAAGTCTCCCTACTAAACCCTGCATTTTCGCATGCTCGCTCAAAATGCACGAGGTATAATGCAATGTCGTCACCCGCCTTGAAGGTGTGGATTAGATCCTTTATCTTTGATTCTCCACCCCCTGAATTTCGATTTCCCACGGATATACGAAGCTCCAGTTCTTTCAGACGGATTTCATGTTCTTTATCCTCGCGATCCCTCCTTATTTCCTCCTCTCTCTGTTCACGGGCTAAGCGCTCACGCTCCTCTTTCTTTGCCAAAATGGTTTCTCTGGCCTCAATGGCCTCTTCTAAACTCACTTCCTCTTTTCCCAAGTGCTCCAAAATTTGTTGTTTTCTTTTAACCGAGCCGACCGAAATATTCAGCTCCTGACAAATTTCGAGGAGTTCTTGGACCTTAAACTTCTCCATCTTAGATATGCACACCGTTTCTCTTCTAAGGTAATTTTGCCCACGAGCCACCCAATTCTTGGTCTGCGAATCAAAATTTACCACAATCACCCTACCACGTTACCGACCATCTGCGCTAACGAGTCTGGCGAAAAGAAGAGCAAACACGCGGCACTCACCACTTCGATGCAGCCGACGCAGGCGAATCCCATAAGCTGCCAGCCACTGTTGCGCCTTTGGGTAGCGTGGTGCGGACTCGGGCCATCCGAGTCCCCGGAGAGGACGAGTAGAGAAGCCGGAGAAGGAGAAAAAAATGTTTATATACAGTATTTACATGGTAGCGTGGTACAACATGAAAAGAGAATCACACACGAGCGCCTCTGCGCTAGCGTTTTTATACATCGTCCGCCTTCCCAAGATCCCTTGCAAAGAAAATTTATGCGCAGGATACTCCAATGAGATCGTCGTCTTCCTCTCCGTCCCCGAAGAGGGAAAGCCAAACACCGCCTCCCTCTGAACCTAGGAAAGGGGGCAAGACATGCCCAGTTCGCTGTTTGGTGAGGGAGACCCCACGCGCCAGCGTGGCACCACAGTGAGATGACGTGGAATCCCATGCGCAAAGTCGCTCCCTGATGCAGCCAGGTTGACTCAAGCAAGGCAGAATACCCCGTACAGCTGCTGGGTCGACGCTGCTTCGGAGTGTTGCTCTCGGCGGCTGACAAAAGCTTGGCCAACGACTTTTGTGTCAAGAGGAGCCGGCGACGTGGTTTTTCCAGATTGTCCGCGTCCGTCGCCGTCCCGGTGCAGGGTTGACTCATCAACAGCTGCCAGGTGCCAGCAGGCCGCGAAGACCACGTGGAACTTGGGCGAGGCACAACACTATACAATAAACCACGTATTTAGCGCGACAGTACAAAACAGAAGCTAGAAAAAGGCGTCCCCGACTCGCGTGTGAGGATCCATTAGGTTCGTGTCATCGTAGCGCTCCTCCTTTTCCTTTCCTCCCTCCTGGCCAGCCGAAACCATTATTTTTTTTTTGTTCTGTAGGTTGCCTCGGCTGCTCTTGTCCACCGCCGAAACGACGCCGATTAAAAGGCAGCCGGTGCCGCGACAATGGCCTAATTGTTGCCGTGTTGAGAGGCTGTGGGGGTGAGCATGTGACGTTGCTTAAACCTGAATGCGTCTTTTCTTTTTTCAAGACGCGTGAAAGAAAAACAAACAAACAAAAAACAAGTGCACGAAGTCCCCGCACTGACGCTCCGCGGATAACGTGATCCCGACGGTCGTACGCGCGCTTGCTTTTTTTTCTTTTTTTGTAACTTCTCTCGGGATGACACTTGTAGCTGCTGCACGGATGCCCAGCATTGGCGGTGACGTTTGACGAGCGTATATAGAAATTCTTGGCGCGTTTTGCGCGTGCCTCTCTCTAGGTATCTCGTTATCACGACCCGCTGCCTACGTATGTGCGGCTGTGTTTGTTTTCTTTTTTTCTTTCTGGCATTGGAATCTCGAGAGAGTTGCCCTTTATGCCCCTTTCGCCCGTTTCTTTTATTTATGTGTTGTTTTCGACCTGTTGCTGCTGTCGCGCTGAACCCTCGACGGAGGGGTTTATCTCCGGACAGCAATACGCACCTTGCGACAGTTCTTGCTCGATTTATTTATCGCCGTTCTTTCTGTTTGCTCGTTCCAGAGTGGCTCTATTCCGTCGTGGGTGTACAATGCGCTAAGGATCCGCATGGCAGCCTGTCTTCAACGGCTATCTTGCGTAAGTACTTCCCTCTCTGTTCACTTCAGCACGTTACGCTGCAACGGCAGGCGCACGTGGGAACTGAGGACTACCACAGTAAATCGATCAGCTAGTGTATGAAACCTTGAGAACAGCCGCGGTGGGCCTGACTGCTGACCCAAAAGTCGCGGTATCGAATCCCGGCTGCGATGTTTCGCTGTTAGCAAAGTACAAAAGCAAGTGTGTCTCTAAAAACCTTTCTGTTTGCGGTCCTGCATGCGTATGCCTGAGAGGGCACGCATGCATTCGTGGTGTTCGGATATGGTGTTCTTGCGTATATTTGTCCAGATAGAAGCTAACCTTCGTGCTGTAGCCGATGTACGGACGTCTAAATTGATTTCGCGGAACCGAATGGCGACCAATGTGTCTCGTGCGCGCCGAAGGGTTTTTGGCTAGACCCTTTATTTGCGGATCGCATGCCGTACGCGAACGATTCAGCAGGAGTATTCAGTTCGATTTGAATCCACTACTCGCTTTTCGTGCGAGTACACCTTAACGCGGGCTCTTCGTACAGCCTCGACCTTGCTTTGTGTCCATCGCATTCGAACATGCACGAACACACAAAGTGATGAGTGGCTAGAATCCTAGCTGCGTTGTGCGACCGCACGGGCATCGACGCCAGCGCTCGCGGCAACAGCTGAGGCTGACGGCGCGTGCATTGTGTTGTTGTGCGCCTGTCTCTCCCCGTCATCGTCGCGACTGCTCCTGTGCGGGCGCGATCACAACACTGCGAGTGTTGTTCGCTAGTGCGCATATTAAGCAAAGTGGACCACCCGCTGTGCGTGTCACTTTTGTTCTTTTTTTTTCTTTCTCGTCGCTCAGGACATGAAGGCAAATGGGTGGGGGGACGCTCGTGGGAGCTGACGATGATGGCCCTTGTCGCTGCTTTTTCGCTTACATAAAAGACGCGGTCTTGATCGACTCTCGCACGGCATCTCACTGCGGCGCACGACACGACTGGAGGAGGGGCATAATGCCTAACCTGCCAGCTTCCAACACTCCGCTACACCTTCCTTCCTCACCTCCCGGCGGGATCACCGACCAACTCCTTTAGCGGACGTCGCTTCGGTACTGCTTTCACGAGAGCGCGGTAAAACACAGCCAGCGACGACAACGGCGGCTGCTGGAGAAGTGCGACGCGCCTGCCGATGGCGTGATGAGAAGCGCGGCCAGCGCCCCTAAGTTGCGCCAGCCTACCGACGCTTGGCTCGCCTCCTCCGCCACAATCGCGTGCACTCAAGAGGACCTAGCGCCTCGGACCCCCCTCCGCCTTCCGCACTTTTGTCGCCTTCGCGTGTCCGCAGCTGTCGAGGATGGATGGCCTGGTGCTCGATCCCAGAGCGCCGTCGTGGCGTATAGGGCACGTTTGGTCTTTCCCTCTCCTCATGGAAAGCGCTGTCGGCCCGCGTGTATTTGTTGTTGCTTTTGCTCGTGCAACTGTTTGTTGTGGCTTCCCTTTTCGGGCCTGCAGAAAAGCAGAATGGCGAAATCACGGTGCGAGGAGCACAGTATGCAAATGTTGACAAAGTCGTGTAAATGACAGTGGTAGAAGGGCGGAGGGGGGGGATGTTTCCCGACCCTGAATCATTTCAATTTTCCATCTGTGAAACGCCTACACAAACATGCGTAAAGAACGGTTACCCGTAACCCCCCCCCTCCCCCCTGCCCTACTCCCTACTGGTAAATAACTAGTTTTCAGGGGCTACATTATTATCTTCCCTCCTTTTCTCACCTTTCCCATTAGTTCCCTGTCCAACCCATACCTCCGCGGTGTAGAGTTGTGCAGCCCACAGAGAGGAGAAATATGGCAACAAGGAAGATTTTCTAATACTTTGCAAAGCGGCAACAGCCTACATTGCATAGGTGCCCATCAGTTTCGTTGTCTCTTTAGTATTGGGCCTCGAGTGCAAGCTATGCTGATTTCATTTCCTTTACTGTTTTCTTTTTTAAATAAATGTTTCAATCGCTGATTCACTTTATATGAGCTTACAGAAAATACGTCTTGGGGCACAAGCCATCTTGTTTCTTCGTAATAGGGAATCTATGCCACAGGTCACTAGGATGTCCTCCTTCTTTCTGTAGTGATCAAAAAATAAATAAATGTAGCGTCTATAGCCTTCTGATAAGCTATCGTGGGTTTTATCTGTAGAATTCTTGGCGTTTGCTCTTTGTCTGATAAGGAACCTGCCTAGCCAGGCATCACAGGTTGAGGTGCCGCTCTTTAGAGTGGCCTGCGTAGGTACTTTGTGTGGTTACGAGGGGAGGCTAGTGGTGACCATATTGTGAGAGTCTTCTTGATTTGCTTCTCTGGTGCTGCGAAGATGGGAGGTTTCCTTTGGTACTGTATGTCGTCCTTTTACCACTCTTGATGTCCTAGTAGTCATATATTCATGCTGCAGTTTGTTCTAACTAATGTTGATAATAGTGCCCTTGCGTAACATCGTCACTCCTCTGCTTTATATGCACTTTCAACTGCTTTTTCTTTTGGCAGCAAGAAAGCTGAAAACTCTCAGCGTACACATATTACTAATCTACTCTGTTGGATCATAATCACTTCCATTATAATTTTTTTTTACGATGTGTACATCTCTGAGGGCTGGCAATTTCACATATAGTAACACAGCTATGCTTTTTAAGAGAGTCGGTGTGCCATTTTATTCTGCATTATAGTCTGAACAGATGAACAACTACTGTGCTAGAAAACATGCTTTTGCTTTCACATATATTAAAACAATGATTACGTGTTAGTCATTGTTACTTATAGCGCTCTAAAATAATCAAAGCTCTAGTGTTTGTGGCACTTCAGAAGTACAGGAAGTATTTAAAGCCACTTTATAGGAATGCTACACATGTCCTGCACAGTTGACAGGAGCTGAGAACAACCCTAATGCAATGTCATTTATTTTCTAATGTTATGTATGAGTGTTATTTATGGCAAAGATTATCTTGGCTTTTTTAAAAGTCTACCTTAAAGTTGCAAAATTTTATGTCAGAATGCAGGTTTTTTTTTCTTTTAGGGTTTCTTAGCGTATGGTATGCTAATAAAAAAAAAATTCATGAGCCCTTGTCTTAATGAGGAAATGGTGGCAAGGAGAGCTTGGCATTGGCGCGCCTGACATACTTCTCTTTCTGTGTAACGCATTGCACATTCTTCTCGCCTAACTCTTAACTTGAAGGTTGTGGGTTCGATCTCTGCCACCGTGGTCATGTTGCAATGGAGATGAAATGCTAGAAGCCCATGTACTACGCGATGGCAGTGCACGTTAAAAAACACCAAGTGGTCAAAATGTCTGGAGCCATCCACTAGGTCGTCCCTCACAATATCATGGTTTCGAGAAGCCATACTCCAAATATTGTCTTCCTGCATGCCGGCATTCGGACCGTCACCCACACACACGTTTATCAGTGCAACTCCTTGGTTAATACAGGCAGCCACGACTGCCGTGCATTCGCATCTAGGCAACAGTAAAATGCGGAAACGTGAATGACCAGTCACCTTGATGAAAGATCCGATTGGCATTTCAAGAACTTCTAATCTCCGAAAAGCCCATGATCTAGACAAACATCACTTGTTTGGATATGATGTTTCCAAATCTGCTTGTGACTGGTACACCCTTGAGAACCTTTTTGTGTACAGTCGCATTTCTGTAGACTCAGGGGCACAAGGATTTATTGTGGTCACCCCTACAATGCCAATTTATGAGGCATAAAAGCTTCACTTAATAGTGTAACTTATGGTTCTTACTTTACAGAGTTGACTTTTTACTGAGGGACTGGCAAAGCAGATGTTGCAACTGTTTCTACTGGGCCGTTGTCGAGAACTCTAAGAACTGGTGAGAAAATATTTACTGTTTTGTCACTGCGAAGACACCTTTCATATATATCCCAATTGACTGTTTGTGTACACAAGAAATTGGTCCGCAACAAATGATAGATAGGAAAAAGTACTGCGCGCTGCTTTTCTTTCTGCACTGTCTCCTGCTACCCTGCTCTGCTCATAGCACGGTTAAAATATGTGCAGCTTGTTACACAAGGGAAGCTGGGGTACATTCACATCAAGCTACTCAACCTTATTTTATGAGCGTGGCAAGCTACTAAACCCGGCAGCTCTGCATGTATCTTTCCTTTATATAAAAAAAAATAGAAAATGGTAATTCCGGCAAGAGATTTGTAAATTATGTCTCGATCGATGGGTTCAGATGGTACTCAATCTTTAGTGACACTAAGAAAAAACGAATGTGTGTGTTTGTGTGTGTGTATGTGGAGAGAGAGAGAGAAAAAATCGTATAGCTAACAAGGTAACAATATGAGTGAGTTTTCGTATCAAGATCCTCACCGTCTCAGTATGTTGTTTCGATACGTGTGAACGTAGGGGTCGGTGGCCAGCATGTCTCAGCACAGTGACGAGGCGCTGCTGGTGGCTGGCAGCGACAGCTTCTGGGAGCCCGGCAACTACAAGCGAACCAGCAAGCGCACAGAGGATGGCCACCGGCTCTGCAGCGAGCTGATACAGCTGGTGCAGGAGCGCTCGGAGGTGGAGAAGGCGTATGCCAAGGGACTCCGGGCCTGGTCACGCAAATGGGCCGAGCAGATCGACAAGGGCCCCGAGTACGGCACCACCGAGGCCGCCTGGAAAGGCGCATTGCAGGAGGCCGACCGGACTTCCGAGATGCATCTGCGCGTGCGTGACAAGCTACTCAACGAAGTGGTTCCACAGGTACGACACCCTTTCTTTCAGATTCAGGATGGCATAGCTATACCTGCCATGGCAGTTTAGCACTTTACTGCTGACTCGAAGGTTGCAGGATTTAATCCCGACCATGGTGGTCGCGTTTACAATGAAGGCAGAATGGCAGAGGCCCGTGGGGTTAATGTAGATGCACATAAAAGAACCCTAGGTGGTCGAAATTTTTGTGGCCCGGTACTACGGTGTCTTGCATAATCATATTTTGTTTTTGGGATGTTAAAATGTCAACAGTATTATTATTATTATTATTATTATTATTATTATTATTATTATTATTATTATTATTATTATTATTATTATTATTATCATTATTGAAGGCGTAGCTGATTAACACTGGTAAACAGAGGTTTGAAGGAAAGCAGAAAGGTTTGAGTAATTGTCTGGTGTGGTCAGCTTTTGATCGACAGGTCTAACAAGACTATATTTTTGTTTTTGAGGAAACTGTACCATTACAATCATACCTTGATTTAATGAACCCAGATATAACGAAGCAAGTCAAAAATAGTCTTGCAATAGTGTTAGAAATTTATCTCTATAACAAATTTTTGGTTATGTTGTAAAACCTCACGAATTCAAACTTGGTTATTTTGAAATTCCACTCAATTCAAAATATTTCTCCGCAGTCCCGTATTTTGCATTGCAAGTCTGAGCAGATTATTTAAAGCGGCGGTCAGCACTGGTCTGGTTAATTCGAAAATTTTGGGTACCGTGTGCCAAATGCCCTCCTGCGGTGGTCTAGTGGCTAAGGTACTCGGCTGCTGACCCGCAGGTCACGGGATTGAATTCTTGGCTGCGGCAGCTGCATTTCCGATGCATTTTCAACGGAGGCAAAAATACTGTAGACTAATGCGCTCAGATTTGGGTACATTTTGAAGAACCCCAGGTGGTCGAAATATCCGGAGCCATCCACTGCAGTGTCTCTCATAATCATATGGTGGTTTTGGGATGTTAAACCCCCCTTATCAATCAATCAACCGTGTGCCAATTTTTGATCCTGATTTCGCTGCGGATCCGCGGAAAGAACTGCTCTGCTCTTAAGAAAGCCACAGTGCAATGCGATGAGCGATACTAATGAGTGGCAGCTGAAGCACTCCAATCCTGCTACTTCCAGCGTGAAAAAAAGAATAAGAAACTCAGTGTTATGTTCAATCAAAACGTGCACTGGCGGTAAACACGACTGGCTTCGCTGCAACACAGAAGTGACGGGCAGGCAGCGTATTGCATGTTTCTCACTACGTCAGCACATTATAATTTACCCATTCTTTCTGGGATTATAAAAAAAAGTTCAATAAAGGACTGTTTTGGGTAATTCGAGATGTATGCGAACCTTTGATTGTCGGTTGCTCCAGCAATTAGCGCACTTCCACTGCTTGTGGAATTCTTGCTTGCTATGCCTAGTTAGAAAACTAAGCTCGAAAGCTTCAATGGTCATTTTTTTCAGCAAAAGCATATCACAAATTTCATCACACTGGCCATTATTTTCATGATGTGCTGATGCAGCGAGAAGCAGGCAACATAGTGCCCACTCGTCATTACTGCGTTGCAGTGAAGCCCGTCTCACTTTCCGCAAGCGTGCATTTTAGTTAATCACGACTGTGTTTTCTTCTTCTCTTCCCCCCCTTTTTTTGGTGGCAGCAGCGAAGCTTGCCGTTTCTTCGTGTTTGTGCAAAATTACGACCAAGTATTGCAGGAAAACAACTTTGGAGCCGCAAATTAGCTGGCAAAGTAAATGATCAACCTCGATTATTTTGAATAATTGCAAGTCCCTTGCATCCAACTTTTTGTATGTTGTGTTAATTCGAAAACTCGCTTAATTGGAAGATTTTCGGGGTCCCAGTGACTCGAATTAACGAGGTTTTACTCTAATTGACATATTTTGCTGTAAGATGCAACTTTGTTATAATGAGGTGTGAGTGTGTACGCTTGCTGTGGGTATTATAGTGTCACATGACCGACGCTAAGGTTGAGTAACGTTACTTATGAATTAGTGGAATATATAATCGCATTGAACGTATCTCTTGTAATCATATCTTGGTTTTCAGATGTTAAACATCACAATTAATATTGGATTAAGTTCCATGCTGTTTTTTCTTGCAGATAAAAACTTGGCAGAAAGAGAATTACCACCGGTCCATGATGCAACTGCGGGAACGGCGAGAGCTGGATGAGGCATTCAAGAAGGCCCAAAAGCCCTGGGCGAAATTGCTTGATCGGGTGAACAAGGCGCGTAGCGACTACCACACAGCCTGCAAGGCCGAGCGCTCAGCCACCAACCAGGAGCGGAATGCTGGCGCGGACAGCTCACTGTCGCCCGACCAGGTGAAGAGATCCCCTGATCCAGTAGGTGGACGCCAGTCTCGTACTGGTACTGCTGAGAAGCCATGGGAATACCAAATATCAACTGTGGATTATAATCTGAAGAAAAGCTAACATGAAAGAGTTGTTTCCCCGCCATTAGTTCGGAGAGCAGTGTGTATTAATAGGTGCTTGTCGACTGTATGGTCTGAACACTGTGATCTAGAACCTTTACCCACCTTCTGTCGAGTCCAGTTTAGAACTGAAGAAATCCAAGCTCGAGTAAAAAGTTGATATTCCCTTATAGATGATGCATAATGAAATTAGAAAATGCGTGCATGAATCAACCACGAAAGAACTTGTTGAGCAGTGCCCGACTATGAATTGCTGCAGCCGCATTGCGTTGTCAGCAGGGAATACTCTTTAGTGTGCTGTTCTTTAAGCAAAACATTTAAAATATATATATATATATATATATATATATATATATATATATATATATATATATATATATATATATATATATATATATATATATATATATATATATAAAATTGAGCTCCATTGGCTATGAATTCCTTTCTGTGGCAAAGCATTCCATTTATAACGCACCTCATCTTGAACTGTTGACATACCAGGATTTGTCGATTGGAAGCAGTAATTGCAATGCATCGATATTACGGGTTATTGCACATCATTTTAGTTATTTGATTTCATCATATCTTGTTTCACTTTACTAAAGTACACAAACAAAAAACTGTCAAGTACTAATTCTACATGAAGTTCCTTGTTTGGAATTACAATGAAACCATAATTACTGCACACTGCTGCAGCTTAGTGGCTGTGGTGATGCACTCGTGAGCATGAGGTTGCCGCTTCTAATCCACATGTGCCAACTGCATTGCACAATACTCATGTCCTTAGATTCAGGTGTATGCTAAAGAAACCGGGTAGTCAATATAATTTAGCATCCACCGTTACAGCATAATTATTAATTACATTGCAGTGCTGCATGCACGATCTCAGGACTTTCAATCAAATTCACCATTGCTGACAACCTGCAAGTTTTTAATATTAGTGATGTATCTGATTGTTACAAACATGCTGTAATGATCCTGCTCTCCTAGTAATGTGTCAGCGAGAGCTTTACCACCATGAAAATCTACTTAAGCATACATAAGCGAACTATTTGCAACCTTGCTTATGTATTTGTCCCGCTGACTTCTTTGTCAGGAGCTCTTGCTTTGATTGCAGTAAACCTGCTGCTTTTCATACAAAAGCATTCTTTGTCTTTTGAATAATTCAGCGTCAGTTCTGTTTTAAGGGAGACGCTCCTCGAAAAAGTTTTTTTTTTATTTCTAGTAATAGAGACTTGAAAAGTTTGTTATTAGTATAGTTTTTCATGCAGATTTCAAATATGCAATCATTTTTTGTGTAGCTGCTATAATTATTGAGTTATGCCATAAACAATAGCAAAAAGTTACATTTTTTGCGGGCACTCTTTTATGTACTAAACTTTCAGTAAAAGCACTGTGTCTGATCTTATTTGACTCTTGGTAGATTGAAAAGTGCAAATATCTATATAGATATGTCACAGAAATATTGGAACCAAGAAAAAAAAATTGTATTGAATGACTTATTATTTTTAATCTCCCTTGAAACAATAAGCTAATATTTTCACAACTAATGCTGGTAGGCATTGCAATTTAGAGTAGATATTTTCATTCTGCATGTGTTGAAGAATATGTGTGCCAAGTTTTGTTACTATACAATGAATATGTTTCTAAAAGGCTGCCCGGAAAACGTGAAACTGTCAGAAAAAATTAAAATGAGAAAAACAAGTTTGAAAGTTCGCAAAGTTGGCATTTATTAGGAAATCATTCTTTTTGCATCAAATTGGGGCACAATGAAAAGTACCTTGCCTTGAATGCACTGCAAGTGTCTAGAAGTCCCCTGCACCATAGCTTGGTCCTTCACGGCTCTTGCGGTCAGTGTCCTCAACACGAGCTCTCTTCGCTGTGTTGCAACGGTGTGCCCTCGCTTCTGCAGTTTGCTTCAGGTTCATCTTCCTGATGCGCATGACGTCACAGTGGTCACCATGTGTGGCCAGATCTTGTGAGGGGAGAATTCCAATGCCTTCGAGCACTTCTTCAAAGCCCCTGTGGCCTTTGTTGTACCAGAGTACAGCAAGAGCGGTGGCTGTCTCCACAGTTGTTCTGGAGGCGAACTTTGTTTTTGGACATAGCAGCCATATCTTGCTGTTCAGCGATTCAGCTGCATTCTGTGTCTTGCCATGAAGGCACCGAATAAGGAGTTTCTCCTCTGTAAGGCGCTTGTAAATAGGCATAATTGCCAATCCTTGAGCCTTCGTCAACAGTGGGGTGTGGCGTGGTGCAGGCTCCCCCAGTGCTTCCGCACGCTTGTGCTTGCACCACGAATTTGGTCTCGCGGGGCAAAAGTTGTGGCTACTGGCACCATCACTGGAGCAGCAATGAAAATACGATGCCCATATGGCAGTGTACATATTTCGGACACTGTCCTTGTTGCTCGTGATGGCGATCTTGTAATATGTTTGTAGTTTTATTATTGTCGCATCTTTCAGTTTTTCGCCTCGTGGCAGTGGCGTTGCCAATTTCCGTAGGGCAGTTCCCAAGCGCTTTGCAACGTGGTTCGTGCACTCGTCTTTGTCAATGGGGGTGTCACAGTATACATTTGCCTCGCAGACTGCAGTGTAGGCCTTGCTCTCACCATCACTTAGGAAGCTGGTGAATCGCAGTGGAGTTTCATAAGACAAGGTCCTCTGCCATATATTGACAGCTGCCGCAGGTTCCATTGCATGGGATGAGCAGTCAGTGTTTTTTTGGCAAACTGGAAGATGAAAAGCTCGCCATATCTCTTCATCCTCCCCAAGGTCCCTGTGTATACTGCAAGCATGGCAGTAGTTCGAAAGAACTTCAAAATCGAGGCAGAGCCTCGTGTCCAGGGACACGACTGTGCCCGCTCCATTGTGGCTTTTATGACCTCTTTTCTGCCAGGTGCCATCAAACATGACTGGCACATCTCTGCTGCCGACTGCGTCCTTCGTGATGTTTCGTGCCTGGTGCAAGTTTTTGCTCACTGTTGTCATCGCCGCACCATGGAGCTTCTTGCAAATGCCGTTGAATGTCTTGTGATGCATCGGGCTCGGAAAACCGAGAATCGCACAAAATCGTGAAAGTTGGTCGTGGCCTGCGCCTATAGCGTGTGCTGCCAGAACTGCCTTCACGTTTACAGCAAAGCTGTCACGCGAGCTGCCGCTGTCAAAACGAGCGCTCGTTCCTTGGTCCCCGGCCGAAGCAGTACGTCTCGACGTGTGCGTGAACGAAAGTGCAGATTCAGGGCAATCAGAATTTTGACAGCACAGTTCGAGGAATGCCGAAAGTCCTTTGCGCTTTCCAGCTGCCTCTCGCACGCCGAGCTTCCGTTCGCGGCAGGTTGGGCATTGCGCACCCGCCACAAGTGCCGTCAGCGCATCGATTTCGCAAAGCAGCATGTTCGCAGTAGCAGCATCTACCGGTCTACACGTTCACTCTCGAAGAATCCAATCTTCCTTTGGGATGCACTGACGAATTCCACGGCAGCGGCTATTTCACAACCACTGGCGCAGGGTTCGGTGACGGTGTTAGGCCTATCCGAAGTCGGAGCGTCGGGGCGTTGGTCGGGAGCGACATCGTCGTTCGGTGTCGCTTTGCGAAGCGTCCGACGCCGTTTCCCTCGATACTTGTGGCGAGTTCTGAACTTTCGATTATCTGAACTGCACTTCTTCGGGCTTGCCATGACGCAAAAATGCAGAGAAACGCAGAAAAACTCGATCGCGACGTCCGAGGCTTCGCTCTTTTGCCGGAGAGATAGGAGGGGGAGGAGCGTGGAGCGCACTGCCGTCCAATGGCGGCCTCGCGCTGTGTGCCGCGATATTCAAAACGCGTGACGTACGTTTTGTTTTTCTCGTTTTTTGTTTATTCTGCGCGAAGGCACAAGACTGGCTACTAGTGGATTATGAAGGATACGGCCTTCGCAGCATGTGTGCACGATTGCAAATGGCGGCCAACGCGTCGTTTTCGCGACAGGACGACGCGAACTTCGCCGTTTTTCGCGACTTTCGCGCATTTCTCGCGTCACCGCTGCCCACTTGGAAGCATTTTTTGATAATTTCTCGTGCGAATTTCAGCTTGATATTTTCAGAAGTAATAGATTATAGTCCAAGGATGCCAATACAGCCGGAAAAAAAAAAAAGCGTAAATTTCCCGGAAAACCGCGACTTTTCGACCCGCGTCTCCCCTTAACCGCATAACAAATCAATGCAAGTCAACTAAGTGGTTGCATTAATGATGCCACCATTTAATAGTGAAGTCATCAGATTACGTCATGTGATGACCCGCTACAGTGATCCAGTGGTGCTCAACTCCTGACTTGAAGGTTGAGAGTTCGAATGCCGGCTGCTGCAGTCATATTTTGGAGGAGGCGAAATGCTAGAGGCCCACGTACTTAGATTTAGGAGCACGTTAAAGAAAATCAGGTGGTGGAAATTTTCAGTGCCCTCCACTATTCGTCCCTATGGCATCATATAGCAGTTTTGAGTAGGCTTGTGCAAATAGTGAATTTTAGGTTCGAAGTGAATGCGAAGCAATTAGCGGCTTTATTCGAGTAATTTCGAATCAAATTCAGATAGTGTATATGTCACATAAAGAAATAGGGGCATATTTGTCATGATGTAACTAACCTGCGCAATCTTTTTAAAAACTTGAAACAAGGCCTGTTTAAAATGCCATTTGGTAACATCAAAGAAAGTGGAAAAAACTTTATATAGTCACAGGATTTCACTTTTGGTAAAATGCTAGTGATAGCCTGTAAAATATGTTACTTCTCAAAAATTTCCTATAGTTGAAGTATGTAAGTCAGTATAACAACATTTTAAACTTAAAACTTCAAAAATGAATCGATGTCAGGGTAATATTCTCATTCAGCACCACTTCACCGCAGTGAAACTATTTTTACAGGGAGTTACATGCAAACTTGTAGGCACTTGTATAAATGTTTTCATGGCTTCGCGCATCTCTACTGCAATGAAAGGGCCTCTACAGGGTGTCACATGCAGGTTAATACGCACCTATTTGTCTATTTCGAATACTTCAAAATTTTCAATTATTTAAATTTGATTCAAAGCGAATTTGAATAATGCATTATTCTTTCGAATATTCAGAGCATTCAAATATTCAGAAGCCTAGTTTTGAGGCATGAAGCTCAACCAATTACGTTGTGAAATGCATGTCAAAATAGTATGCATGTCTGTATAGCCATCACACACAGACACAGTGTTTTCACCTTCAGTGCAAATTATCGAAGCTTTGGTGACCGTCTAACCATTTTTAATAACCACTGCGCCAACCTGCCCTGCAGGTGAAAAAGCTCCAGGATCGTGTAGCCAAGTGTAAAGAGGAGGTGCAGCGGACACGGGAGCGTTACGAGGCGGCCCTGCAGGAGATCAACGACTACAATGCCAAATACATGGAGGACATGACTGTGGTGTTTGATAAGTGCCAGGAGTTTGAGCAGCGACGGCTGAAGTTCTTTAAGGAAATGCTATTTGCCATTCACGGCTGCCTCAACATCTCCACAGACGCAGAGTAAGTTTGCGACGATTTCGCCCGACTTTCATCACATTTTGCAAAGCTTCAGTGCTAACTTATTGGGCTTATATTTCTTTCATGATCCGTCATTCGTGTAAGTGTATGAGCGCTTGTTTGTACAAGCAGCATGCAGCTGGGCGACTTTGATTTTGGTTTCATGTCTTAAAATCAACACTATACACAAGTTTGTACATAGTCTAATTTTGCAATTGTATTTTGTCCTCTGAATCATGTGTTGAGAAATCTAAATGGAATGTTTTTGTTTGTTTTGAATTGCAAATTTATGTTTGTACATCTGAATTTGTCCTTTAACGATGAGTCGCCTGTACTGCCTGTGAACCAACCAAGTGACATGCATGATACGTAGCTGCACAACATGCCACTTAGGTTGCATAATGCCTGTAGCTTATCTTAAGAATACGTTAATTGGCTGTCCTAGATATTGTTGTCAAAGACTGAAAGGTACAGAGAGCTGCTTACACATTAATGAACTTAGTCTCACTAGATGCAAGATGCCGATGTTGTGCACACATGGGGATCATTCTTTGTACGAATGGTGTGAGGATAAAAAGGCTGAAGTCACATTTAAGTGTCTATTACATCTGAAAGCTGTTGCTTGCAGCTGCATGTGTAGCGGACAGTAAGAACGTTTTCCGGTGATCACGCTTTTTGCTGGAAGCTGATGTTGCTAGAAGCCATATTCCTGTTTTTCTTCTGTGTCTTCAGGCTTCCCCAGATTTATGAAGAATACCGGCATACGATACACAATGCCGATGCATCAAAGGATCTCAAATGGTGGTCAAACAACCATGGTATTGGCATGGCGATGAACTGGCCACAGTTTGAAGTAAGGCTTGCATGCTTTTGAAGTTATATTGTGCTGCTGTAGAATGTTTTTTTTTTTCAGCCAGTACGTTTGTGTAGAACAATGTTTTCTTTATGCTCACTTACTGCCCCCTCTCGCTGATTATAAGTACGGTGCTGACTTAAGGAATGTGTTCTTTTGCTCTTTTGGTTGTATGCCCCACTAATTCCGCATGTAGGTATAAACTAAGCTATGAACCATGAACAGTTTTCCTGATTCTTTACCGCTGGCAAGCAGCATCAAACTCTGTTTAAGTAAACTATGCGCTTCTATTTGCTCTGATGCATGTGGCACGAGTACAGTGCAGTCCACTTATAACGATATCGAGAAAACCTAAAAATATGATCGTTATAACCGGTGATCGTTATATCTGGACTGCCGCCAAAATATCGTCGCCGGACGTACCTTTTGTAGCTCCAGGCTTCATTTCGCTATTTTCACCAATTAATAAATATTGTAGATAGTAGGATGTCAAAAACAAGATTTTATTTCTTACTCCGAAGAACGCATCACGGGTTCGCGGAGGAAGAGAGACTGACCGACGGCGGGGTGGGTGGGAGCAGTGGGAGGAAGAAAGCACAGCCAGAGGTACACAGCCGGAATGCCAACGAGGCCCCGCCCCGATGCCGCCGCGCCGCTTTGCTTTTCGCTTTTTTTTATTTTCTCTCTCTTTCCCGCTTTCGTTCGGCAAGCTACGAGTAGCTTGCCGGCTTGCCGTTGTAGAAGGCGGGGAGCCGCGGAGCGCGGCGCTTTGCTTTTCGCATTTTTTTTTTTTTTTAAATTCTCTCCGCGGTCGACGCGCGGTGAGGCGCAAAACGTGACACATCTGGCGCCATCTGTAGCGCGTCGCGCCAACTCGCGATGCTCTCCTCGGCTTTTTGAACGGCCGGGACGCGCTGCCGGCGCTGTGCTGCAGTGGCGGCAGGTATCGCCTACGCTAACTTTTCGTCTTGCCTCGGCATAGTTCGTTTCAGAGGAACTTATCAATCTAAATGTTACGATTATTCTGAATGAAACATGCCGTCCACGGCAAACTTTTCATCGTTGTATCCGATATGCGGTGGATAACATATCGTTATATATGGTTTTTTTCCCCATAGCCCCAATGCATAAAATGAAACTGTTAAGTCGACCCATCGTTATAACCGATATATCGTTATATGTGGTATCGTTATAAGTGGACTGCACTGTACCAGCTACTAAGTAATGGTACCATTGTTTTAGCACTACAGTGGAACCTTGTACTGCCGTGTCGCTTTTTGAGCGAGAGAGTAGTCCAATAAACATTTATTGCTAGCTCACATATTCTGCTGTCTGCGCTTCAAATTTTCTCTCCTGGTAATGTATCATTTGCTTTACTTTTAACCCCTAGCTTCACTTTCCTGCTTTGTTTTAATGCTTGGTTAATGTTTTTTTGAATGCTAATGGTTGGAAAAACATTATGGTAATTAGCCATCGCATTAAGCTGTGGCAGGCCTAGTGTCATTTTGGTCATTTTGGTACTTCACTCAGTAGCCTTGCACGTATTTTATTATGTATATTACAGTCAACTGCCGATTTTTCGGACCCTCTAGGGAGCGAAAAACCGCCCGAAGATTCGGGCAGTAGGAAAAAATGAATGCAAGCAAAAAAAAAAACACATTATTTTACTGATAATTTTAAATTCAAGCAAAAAAAAAACACCATTTTGCTATTATTTCTCAATGCAAGCAAAAAACACACCATTTCATTGATATTTCTCGGATCAAGAGGGTCAAGGTCGAAGTACCAGACTTCCGGAACTCTGCCAAAGCATCAGTGGGGTGGCTCTGAAAAGAGCCGTTAAAAAAAAATGCATGCAGCTGACAGCGGGTGCCGTCAGAACAGCCGGTGTTAGAGCTGCAGTGGCTTGAAAAACTTGTTGATCCTTGTTTGAACAGCGTTCCGCTTGCATGTGATCACATTCGCCTCGATCTGAGCAAGGGTCATGTCATCACTGTACACCGATGACAGCGTCATCAATGCTCGCATCGATTCGGCGGTCGTAGGTGGCGCAGGCGTTGGGTTCCTTCCTTCGTGCCTTTTTCGACATCGGAGTCGCCTGAATCCGCCATAACCTGACTGACTATTTCGACGTCGGTTAGCTCTGCGCGTAAGTCCAGCTCGTTGTCAGCGTCGACAAACGTCAGCCTGTGATCGGCCACTCTTCCCTAACTTAATAATGGCGGCTTTTTTCTTCATCGTTAACCGACGGTACTGTTTTCCGCGCTTCGATGTCATCGGCGAGGACGACGAAGGCGGAGTGGCGGCCATCGCAGGCAAGCAAAAATCTCGCGATGTGAACAAAGGAGTTTGCTGATGAGCGTCGAAGCACCTAGGCTTAGCGTTGCAGAGCACACTTCACACGATCGTACAACCACGCACTAGGCTAGCCAAACACCATGTGGGCTGCGTAAACAAAACGGCGGGACGGCAGGCGACGGTGCCTCGGGTACTCCGGATAAAGCGCTGGTAAACATTCAAGATAACCAGCGTGGCCAGACCAAATCTGTGTGTGATGGTTAGTTCTAGTTCGAAATGGTGAAGCGCTTCACGAAAGCACTGCGCGGGAAGCCAGACTGGCACGCAGGAGCACAAGCGCTAAAGGGAAAGGAACTTTATTGGCGCCAAAAAATTTCCGGGTGGATAGTTTCGATTGTCAGCGAAGCACCCTTGCATGATAAGCACGGCCAGTGTTAGGAATTTCGAAGGCTGGGTATGTTTCTCCGCTAACGATCGAGTCCAAGCAACAGATGCCTTCCTTATACATTGATTCTATGGGGCTCATGGCAGTGCCGCAAAGATGTCCGAATTATCAGGCATGTCCGAAAACTCGGGTGTCCGAAAAATCGGTAGTTGACTGTAGTTGGTCTTGTATTGCGTCGCCATTTTCACCATATCTTCTTAAATATTAAAGTTTAATACTTCATGACTTTCTGCTAAATACTTGCATTTTACGTAGCACTACTCTCCTACATGACAATGAGATCATACAAAATCTGCACTAGACGATTGTTTCTGTCTTTATTTTGTATGCCTCGCACACACACTTCTTTATGCTCTGTGCTAGCAGTCAACTCGTCAAAAGCTGGCTAATCTCAACAATGACAAATTCACTCGAGCGTGACTTCTCTTCCATGCTTTTGTGTTGCGCGTACTTTCGATTTCACGTGGAAAACGCCTGAAACACTTGAGCATTACTTGAAAACAAAATTCTATTTGTGTGTGCAAGCCTCTAGGCCGCACAAATAGGGCATTTACGTTTTGTAATTTGATGAACACGTAGACTGTTCAGACGCAGTCATCGCTCAGCTGTTTTGTGCAAAGTGCTTTGGCAAGTTCAACATGATAAATTTCAGCTGTTAGACAGCAGCACTTATTCGATGACCACCTCACTTGGGCACTTTCGTTTTCCTTTGCTTGTTCAATACTAGTACAAGTCATTTCCAACACAACAAACTTTCTACCTCATTGCACTTCATAAAATGCGTAACAGTGGCAATGTGTACAGCTTTGCCCATTCACCCCTGCATCTGTGTGTTCGTTTGCATAGTGCTTTTTTCGTCTCGTCAAAGGTAGCAAGAAAAAGTTGATGCGCTTTTTGTTGCCCGTCATGCACTCTTTGGCTGTCTGCTTCTCTGGCTCGTGCCCACCCACACCCCTTGCGTAGGAGTACTCCGAGGAATTCCGGGACATCGTAGGCAAGAGCAGCAAGAAGGCGGCGATACCCGAGAGCGGCATCACCCTCGTCAACCAGCACAAGATCGGCGAGGAGCTACCTGTAAAGCAAAACAAAATGCCTCTCTTGCAGCGCCTTGCTTCATTTTTCCAGCCTCTCCCAACTCTTTCTCCTTCTTTACTTGGCTGTGGTTCTCACACGCCATTGTATTGACCTGTTGCTTTTTCTACTGGCGCATGCGTTCTTGCTGACCTGTGGTGTTCGGTTGCGATAAGCTCGATGACTGCCAGTCACTCTTAACTCCTTTTATTATGTAATATATACCTTGCAGAGAAATCGTTAGCAATTCTTTTATAGCCAATAATCTTTGTTCGTTTCTAACACATACTTGTTCACAAGCTCTTTCTGTCGTGAAACTCTCATCAGCTTTGTGCAATTCACGGTATATAACAAACCTTGACTGCACAGCCCAAGTTGCCTGTGTGTTTCTGGTAACGCAGAGACCCCTCAAGTCTGAACGTTTCTTCCACTGCAGGCATTGCTACAAGCAAATATGATTGCTCAACAAAAATGCTAAGTTCAAGATGCAGTGGCTACATTCACTATTGAAATTCTGTGCGCTTCTTGCAGCAGAACTATTTCTATTCCTATCAATTTAATAGTAAGGGTGTAATTCTGTATAGTGTAAAGGAGGCCACAAAGAACAAAACATGTTTACATGCAATTTGCAAGACATCTGGTGCACTCTGTTGTGTACTAACACGGCGGCACAACATTTTATTGCAAATTTTAGGTGAGCTTATGTCATCACTGTACAGACAGAGGCTATTTCTTGCCCGGTGAAAAGATGAGATGGCGTAATGTACTGCCTTTTTCTTTCAGTAATATATACTAACCCACAACAAAAGGACTAATTGATTTCTATGGATTTTTCATAACTTGCACATTATTCGTTATGTATTTTTGCAAGAGAGCATTAATAATTCGTATCACTCCTATATTCGTACAAACTGTGACCATGTTTGCTCAGGGTCTCGCTACATTCATCCAGCTTAGCATGCCCGCTCACTGATGTTGAATAACACATTTCTGCCGGACCTCTGCTTTGCCGACTTCTTCTAAGCACTTAATGGTCTTGCTTTACACGATAGCTGGGCTTTATGGAGGCAGTATAAGTGTCCGTGACTGAACGAATAAGAGGCTTGGTGGTAGGCGATCTCATTTTTTCTAGCTGTAGCTAAGCCTCGTAGTGAAAGCTTTCTCGCAGCATCTTGTCGAAGCTTGTGTCGCTAAGCTTTGAGCAGTAAGCTCAGTTTAGGCTCACTCTTGTAGTTACAGCACCAGATACATTCATGCTGAGATACAGAGAATGGTATCTCTGTATGGCATACTTTCCCACTCCGAAAACGTCGTCAAAGGGGCCTCATTCGACACAGCCTCCACCTATATGAATTCATGATCTTCTGAACTGAAGCTTTTGTCAGGAATGCAAAAACGTTTTTGTAGCTGCTGAAGTCCCAATATAAACATTTACAAGGATCCCCTAACGAAAGATGTAGGTAGTGTTGTGCTTACAGTGTCACTGGTGAGCAGATTAGTAAAATCGCAAACCATTTAGGAAACAAAGCAAGTGGAAATGTGCTTCTCATCCCTCTGGCAGTGAAATCAACTTCCGACAGCGTGAATATGCACGCATTATTTTAAATTTTCACGCAACATTTCTAATGATTGTACTTCCTCACCTTGTACACTACGTTCTTTTAATACGCAAAAGAGTTTGCTGCCGAAACACCTACATATTTCTGCTGATTATGGGTAGCGTTTTTCTTACTTTCTTTTTAAACAGCTTTTCGCTGTTTTAAGTTTTCTGTATGAAAACACTTGCTGTAGCAGCACGTTGCTCTGCTCTAGATGACATCTTCTTGTATTGATTTGTTGTCTGCTGTTTGTGGGACAGCTAACCCTTCTCTCTTCTTCTTTCAGATATTTCAAATTCTGACCACTGTCTCAAGCAACCCACTAACTCTTTTCCTTTAAGAGTCTTTTCATGCTATGCATAAATTTCCCGATTCTCTAGCTGTTCTCAGCTGCCAGAAAGTGTCCTGAAAAACATGACATCTCTTGTAACTCCTGCAAACGTTTCTGCATGCGCGTTTCAGCATGCTTAACAGGCTGCGGCGTTTGCAACATTTATGATGCAGTTGTCTTCAGTCACTAGAAATTAATAACATGGCCTTTATTGAAGTCTGCAATCTTAAGACTCGTATGACTTTTCCTAAAGTAAGTGGATATCTTGGAGTATTGCTGTACAGCTGTTGTTAGACTTCACACATTGAAAACATGTTTAGCTGCCTCAGTTAAAGGAATCCCAACCTGAATCTTGCATAGATCAACAAGAAAACAAGGATGTGTTTATTTTCTCTTTGAATCAAGCATGGATATGACTGTGCCTACACTTAAATGAACATTCATGTCAGTGCCAGTGTTCAACTTTTTATTTCATGTTTATTTTTTTTTTATAATTACCATCATAGAAACTAAGTTTGCCTAATGCTAGGGTTAGGCTGTTAGTTGCGCCCATGCTGAAATCATTGAATCTCTCTTGCAGTGAGCTTCAGTTCCTGTACTGTGATTAAGATGAGGACAAAGCAGATACCACAGATATCCATAAGTTTTTATATAAAGCACAAAGGCATAGCCAGTGGTATTGAATATTTAAAAGATTTTACCATGCTTCCTTTTAAAGTCGTGCATTATGCCCTGTGTTTTTGTTGAGACAGTACGTTCAAAAATCTTGTGAGTGAGCAAGGGCAGTGACTGTCGTTCACCAACTAACGGGCTCTCGTAAACCCCATGTTTCCAGGAGTACACACCCGAGGTGCAGCACATTCACCGCAAGGAGAAAAAGGGCATCGACTCTGGTGGCATCACACTGACAAGCGTGAGCACGCGTGCCGATGGTGTGGTGGCTAATGCACCGAAAAACCAGAGCACCAACAAGGGACCCAAGGAGACGGGCACCAACCATTCCACCGTGGCTACAACCAACAACTCCACGCCGCCCACTGGCACCGCAAACACGTAAGCACTTTGACTGCATTTGTTGTCGTCTCTGCACGTAACGTCCAGACTGTGCCTGCGTTGTACCAGTGTAACATCAGCATTGTTATTTTATCCAAATTACGTGAGGGCTTTGTGATTAGTGCCGTGGTATAGCCGGCATAATGCCCACATCATATTGATGAAGCACATGCCATGGTTGTACAAGTTTCGCTGTCTGACTTTCGTCGGACCTTTTCATTTCTTGCACAAGAAGCATTTCCTGTAGAGCTGTCGGTCCTTTAAGTGAATGGGCACACTGCGGTTGCTGTGCGGCATCCTGCACTGGTGTAGCTGCAACATTTGATGCTTCTATCTTGTAACATGATGCTCTTTGGTATAAAGATAACCTGTGTACTGAGGACTTGTGCGTTTTGCTTAACGATTTGCATCACATAGGGTACAGGGACAAAGGTGTAACATAAGTATTGCTCCGCAAAAGACTTGTGGTATTGCTTACACTTTAACTCCCTCACTCAGGATTTTTATGTCATCCATCCACCCTCTCTTCACTCGAACGCTGCCACTTCGGAGTTGTACCATTTGCGGAGGTGTCATATTGTCACGATGAATCACAAGTACTGGGGGGGGGGGTATTAAACCACCGAGTAGCTAGCTCTAGGACGATGCGTCAGTCGTGGCTGGCTCTTGAGTCGAAAAGAAGCACGTGATCTTCTTTTCTTCTTGCATATTGAGAGCCGCTCTTGTCGTCAACCCACTACGTGTGGGTGGCATTATCCCCCCTTTCGAAAAGAAAAAAAATGTCCCAAAAGAGGGAAAGAAAAGTGCATAGCACCACTGCATTGTTTCGACATAGGCACGTGAAAAAGAAAAAAGGAAAAATTGTGCTATCTCAGAAGCCGTGGCTCATGGGATCGCCTGCGTCTCAGCGTAGCGTGTCAAATAGTCGGTCGCGACAATCGCCCATTTGTTGCTGTCCGCAGACAGGGGAAATGGCCCGAGAATATCCATGCCGGCTTGGTCAAACGGCGTGCAAGGTGCTTTAATGGACTGAAGCAAACCAGCTGGCTTAACAGATGGTTGGTTTCGGCGCTGACATTCCTGACAGCTCTTGACGTACTTCTTGACGCTTGCCGAAAGTCCTGGCCAATAGTACCTCTCGCTCGCTCTGGCAAGTGTCCAAGAGTAGCCCATATGACTGGATGTGGGTTCGTCATGGCTAGCGAAGAGGATGTCATCTCGCATATCTCGAGGAACCACCAGGAGGTAAGCACGGTTGTTCGAACGAGCGTTCTTCTTGTACAGCACACTGTCTCAAAGGCAGAACGACGTCAACGAGTGGAATAAATGACGTGGTATGATTGTGCACTGGCCCTCTAAATGATCGATGATTGGACGAATCTCTGCGTCATCTCGCTGCCGTTTGCTCAAGTCTGATGAGCTAATGGCGCCCAGGAAGCCTTCGTCTTCCTCTGCTTCCTGACTGACGACATGAAGGGGTGTGCGTGACAGTGTGTCAGCGTCTTCATGCTTACGGCCGGACTTATGGACGATGGTGGTGTCAAATTCGTGCAGCCACAAGCTCCAACGTGCTAGCCGTCCTGAAGGGTCGCGCAGGCTTGCCAACCAACAGAGGGCGTGGTGGTCTGTCACTATCTTGAAAGGACGACCATAAAGGTATGGGCGAAGCTTGGTGATTGCCCACACGACTGCGAGGCACTCTTTCTCCGTAGTGGAATAATTCGCCTTGGCACGGGATAGAGAGTGGCTGGCGAAGGCTATCACTCTTTCGATGTCCTCTTGACGCTGAATGAGCACTGCACCGAGCCCAACATTGCTAGCGTCAGTATAGAACCTCCATGTCAGCATCGTCGAAATGAGCGAGAACGGGTGCTGATTGCATGCGCTGTCGCAGCTCATCAAAAGCTGCTTGTTGCTCGTTTTCTCAAACGGCGTGTCGTCCCTTGTGAGACGAGTCAGAGGTTCTGCTATCTGTGAAAAGTAGTGAATGAACCGGCGATAGTAGCTACACAAACCAAGGAAGCGCCGGACGGCTTTCTTATCGACAGGAGCTGGTAATTTGGCAACAGCGGCAAGCTTGCCCGGATCGGGCCGGACTCCTTCAGTGCTAACTACATGTCCAAAAAATTTTAGTTCTTCATAGCCGAAGTGGCACTTCTGTGGCTTTAGTGTGAGGTCCGCCGATCGGATAGCCTCCAGCACGCTGCGCAGGCGGTGAAGGCGCTGCTCGAACGTGGCAGAGAAGACCACCACATCATCAAGGTAGACAAGACAAGTCTACCACTTGAGCCCTGTTAAAACAGTGTCCATCATTCGCTGGAAAGTTGCCGGCGCTGAACACAAGCCGAAAGGGAGTACTCGAAATTGGTATAGGCCGTGTGGAGTCACGAAGGCTGTCTTCTCACGGTCTCGCTGATCTACCTCAATTTGCCAGTACCCGCTTTTGAGATCGAGAGAAGTGAAATAATGGGCATGACGAAGTCTATCTAGCGAATCGTCAATATGCGGCAGTGGGTACACATCCTTTTTGGTCACGTTATTAAGATTTCGGTAGCCGACGCAGAAGCATAGCGACTAGTCCTTCTTTTTGACAAGCACGACTGGAGATGACCACGGGCTGTTAGATGGTTCGATAACGCCATCGTCAAGCATCTTGCGGACTCGCGTATGCATCGCTTCACGTTCTTTAGCCGACGCGTGGTACGGGTGCTGGTGTATTGGGCGTGCGTCCTCGTACGTGATGATCCTGTGTTGAGTGATGGACGTCTGGCGTATCTTTGAGCAACTTGCGAAGCAAGACCTGAACTCGAACAAGAACGCTTGCAGCGCAGTCTGGTTATTGGTGGACAGATCAGGATTTATGTCAATATTACTCATTGACGTGTCCGCATTATCCACTAGTTCTGACGTGAGACAGTTGATTACGTTTGCTACTGCGTGGGCAAACGCTATCGAAGTGCCACGAAAAAGGTGTTGATGCTCATTGCTAATGTTGGTAACGAGCAATTCAGATCAGCCATCACGAATGTGTATTACACTTCTAGCTACACAGATGCCTTGTTGCAGGAGGTGTTCTAAATTTGTCTCGGCCACCACATCGCCATCACTCAAACCACAGCATGTTACGTCGACTAGAACACTTGCTCGGGGAGGAAGCGTCGCGCTCTGTTCAGAAATACAGAGTACGTTGACACGCCTTCCGTCATCCTGCACGTTAATTGCTCGCTGGGCTGAGAACGTCACACGGCGCTCTTGCAGATCAATGATAGCTCCATTTTCTTGTAGAAAGTCAACTCCCAAAATGACATCACGGGAGCATTCACGTAGAACAAGGCAGCTTGCTACGAATGTATAACCTTGAATCTGTACTCTAGTTGTGCATGCGCCCAGTGGAGTAACGACATGGCCACCTGCTGTCCGAATCTGCGAGTTATGCCACGGCGTGATTACGTTCTTCAGTTGCGTTGTCAGTTTCCCGCTCAGTATGGAATAGTTTGCGCCGGTGTTCACTGACTCATTAACTACACAACCATCAATTGTCACTGCTATGTCGAGTGAAAGCTGGCTATTCTTTGCAGCAGCAGGTGATGTCGGGCCAGTTTCTGTACGGTTCTGCGTCTATAGGAGGTCTTCAGCGCTTCGACGTTCAGCGACCCCGCCCCCAGAGGTCGCTTCGGCTAGTTTTCCGGCGGGGGCTGGGAGATCGTGCGGTAGAATACCGCTGGGGCATTGATGAAAATCGCCTCGGGGATGGTGAGCGTGACTGGCGCCCGGTAGACAGTAGTGCATGCTGCTGGGAGAGGTATTTTTCGATGTCGCGTGGTCTCTGGTCGTAACAGGGTGGCGGCGAGTACGCAGAGAAGCCGCAAAGCCCAAGACAGCGATATGGGCACTGGAGGTACAAGTGATCAGCTTCTCCGCAGTGAAGGCATAGAGGCCGGTGATCGGGTGTGCGCCAAACATCAGACTACCGAGGAGACTGTGTACCGATCGTCGATGTACTGGACCGGTTGCACCGAACGATGGGCGACAGAAGCGCCACGGACAAAGGGCAAGGACGATGGCGTGTACATGCCTTCGTAGTATGGTATGTGCTGCGCTGACTCGAGCTGAAACAGCAGGGACAGCATGAACGAACTGATGGCGGCGATGCAGCAGGGTGTTTCAAGGCTTCTGCTTAGGTTGTCCCACGGCGGTATTCAGCAGGAGCTGGCGCAGCTGTATCAGGAGGCAAGGTGCCCCGGAGGGCCTGGTGCAGCTCATCCTTGATCAGTTGCAATAGAGCTAACCTTAGGATGAGGTGTTACACCAGCCTTTTGCAACTCTTCAGGTACGATATTACGGATGAGTTCCCGTAGAGAATCATTGCTGGTCCCAGCGGCAGTGAAAATGTCAGCAGTGGACATGCCACTGACTTGCCTGTCGTATTGGTTGGATCGCTGCTGCAGCATTTTTTCCATTGTCATGACTTCGGACAAGAACTCCGCGACAGTCTTCGGAGGGTTTCGCACGAGGCCGGCAAAAAGCTGGTCCTTGACACCGTGCATCAAGTGACGCAACTTCTTGTCCTCCGTCAACCTTGAATCGGCCCGTCGGAAGGGACGCGTCATGTCTTCGACGTACGTGGACACAGTTTCGTTTGGCGACTGGACGCGGACCAAAATAGGCTCGTTCAGCTTTTTCTTGGCGATCAGCGCTGGCATAGGTCTGCAGAAGTCTACAGGAGAATTCGGGCTACGTCGTCAGCTGCTCCTCTCGATTTTGATACCACGTACGTGCCCCGTCTTCGAGATAGAAATAGACACGACCCAGTTTTGCCAGCGTCGTCCCGCGGATTCAAGGTGGCTACGCGCTCGAAGTCCGCCAACCAGTCCTCAACGTCCTCGTGCTCCGTACCATGAACGTCGCCGGTGCCCGTAGGGGTTTTCCAACGTATAGCGGTTCGACGCCGTGCTTCTCGTGCCGGTTGGCGAGGTTTGCACTGAAGCGCTAATCATGTCTGTTGACGTGGTGGGAGCAGTATCGTCGACTTCCGGAGGCAATCTCCTGATTCGGCGGCTGGTCTGATGCACGGAAGTATTGACTGGCACTGGACTCGTATTACGTCTTCCTGGGGGGGTCTACAGCATCCGTGAGACTACCCAGCACCTTCCACCAGTTTGTCACGATGCATCACAAGTACTGGGGGGTTTATTAAACCGCCGAGTAGCTAGCTCTAGGACGATGCGTCAGTCGTGGCTGGCTCTCGAGTCTAGAAGAAGCACGGGATATTCTTTTCTTTTTGCATATTGAGAGCCGCTCTTGTAGTTGACCCACTACGTGTGGGTGGCAATATAAACACCAGAAAGAAAACGTAATTTCTCACTGCAGAACTAAACTTGAGAACTCGGGGAATTCGCTTGATCCACCACGGCTGGTCTAGTGGTTTGTTGCTAGACTGCTGACCTCCAGTCTCTTTTGGGACTTGTTTTGGGATTTTAAACCCCAAGAACTACTATACGGTCAAACCCATTTATAACAAACTAGAAAGTGTATCAGGAGGTGTTCTTTATATTAGTAGTTCGTTCTATAGGACACGCCCTTAGAAATGTGCGCTTAGCAACAGACTTTTTTCTATTCCGCGCATTTTTATAGAAGTGCTGACAGCCCGTTCAGCGGCAATTGTTGAACATTCACGTGTCTTCAAGCAATGTCAGCTGCTTGGTCACGAGTGAATTAAACTGCCTTGGCAATAAACTGGCCCCGTTTCACTGAAGCACTCAATGCCACAGGCAACAGATCATCACTGGCTAGTTGCATGCAGCGCGTTGCCTGCTCGGTTCATGCCATCGCGGCCTGTTCACTTGCTATGTGCGCATTTCTGCATTCATCGTGCCTGCTTCACTCCAGGCCATGCACTGGTGCAGCAAGTTGCCTATCCGTTCATTGCGACGAGGACAAGCATTTTGCAAGCAACACACACTCTGGTGTCGCTCACATTTTGCCGTCGACGAATTCGGCGGTGCAGAGAAATTTTATGGGTGTAAAGTTATTTCGCCTATTGCTTCTTGCGTTCCAAGCCATTGTTTGGTTGGTTGTAGGCAGATGTAGCTGCTGGCAATGCATCGTTGGAAAAGGTCAGTGTTCGAAAGCCGACTGCAAGGCTTCATGCTGCCTCCCGATTCTTTTTTTTTCTTTACTGCCATTTTGCCACTGAATATGCACCTGAAAAGCCAGCATCTGAAATCTGCGTGCGGTGCTTGTTGGTTTAGTATATTTTTGTCGCAATTAAACAGGAGCGGTGCACACGTGAGCATGTGCCTTTTTCATCCTTCAGAAAGCATGTTTCAGTCCCCTGTCCCCACCCCCAGTGTTCTTTTTTTTTTTTTGTATCTTATGGGGCACATTCTTAGCGTTACTGTGACCATTGTTTAAAGTAGGAGGCATTGAATAATGTTTGCTATACGTGGACGCTGTTTCAATGGTTAACATATGAAAATCGTAAGTGCACCAACATATCGTCGTTATAACTGATAGACTGTTATATCGGGTATCGTTGTAAGTGGGTTCGACTGTATCAATAGAAATTTGCCTTTTTTGGGAAGAGTCTCGACAGGTTTGCCATTGTATTGAAATTTCAAGCAGGAAGTATACTTCCTTTTTGAGTCATGTTCACACCCACGGATGTTCTCCAGTGCCCGGAGGCCGGTTCTGTGATGTTTCTTGCCGTTGGTGCAGGGCGAAAAAGGCTTACAACCCGTTCGAAGAGGACGACGACGAGAATGAGGTCGACCACCCGAGTGACATGTAAAGTGGAGTTATGTGGCCGCATACTGCTGTGCAGCAAAGAAAGCTTGTTTGGCCCCTTTGTGAAGCTTCAGCTTCTTGTTCCCTTTCGTACCTCTAGTTTTGCTCTTGCTCCTTCTTCACCTTCACTGCCACGTGTTTTCAAACACCAGGGTAGAAAGTCCGAGATTTTATGCATCAGTGTTAGTCAAATAGCAATTGCTAAAGAATGACAGGGACCAAAATTATTAGCTCCTACCAGTGTTAATTGAAGCCGTAACCAATTTTATGCAACCATTCATAATTAAATTGTGTTTAGTTTTTCAATACGCCAGTTGTATCGCTCATTTAGAGACTCTTAAAGATGACACGAAGGTTCACTGTAGTGTCACTTGAGTGCCTTTACATTCTTAAGATATAGTAAAATTATAACCAACTATGTTGTGTAGCTGTATCAGTAAAAATGGCATCTTATATTGTCATTTTTAAAGCACGTAAGACTCGGGTGTGCAACTTACTGATGTGCTACTTCTGTAACCCTCAGCATTGATGGCCTGTTGTCGGACACATCTAGACGGAATTCATGTAGATTACACGTAGAATGTGTTGCATCGTCTCTATACCTGTACGTAGCAGTTCTACACTGCACTTTAGGATCCCCTAGATGGTCTACCAGTAGTTGCTGTGGTCAGACCTCCTTCTTTATTTTGTCTAGTGCGCATGGATCTCAGTAGTGTATGTATGGCTCATTTAGTTGTAGTAATGCAGTATGTGCAGCTATTAGCTGTGTGGGAGTCACGTAGACTACTTCGAACCAAGACATGCAACCTGCCTTGCTTTCCACTTTTGTTTTAGGTTGCTCTAGCCCTATTTTTCTTGTTTTGCTATGATCAATGACTACATTGATTAGCTTATTAGCAAGCTTTTGCAAAAGCTTTTTATGCTTTTTTTATATTTAGTTCCTTTTCAGCCACGCAACATCACCTTGTAAGAGCACTGTGAAGTACTCTGCCTAGACTGTAAAAGGCAAAACAATTATGCTTTTGTAGTTCGAATTACTCATGTTCACATCATAGAATAGTGGGCGCACTCTCTGCACAGCGACACTTGGTTTTACATTACACAAAACAATTTTAAAAAGCTTGACTTGTTAACCTAATCCAAATCAATAAGTACTATTGAGTCAACTGTAGCTAACGCTAGTGCTACGAGGGAAGCAGTAATATATAGACTTCCAGATTCATTTTGAACCGTATGAGTAAGGAAGGCTTTTGAACAGCATATATGACAATTTCACTCCTGATGGACTGAATAGCTTCATTGAAATTAAGAACTCTCACTTCACATTTAGGTGCATTTCACTATAGAGGCCTCATTACCTATAGCAGATAGACAGCTTTGTTTGTTACAGCATGTGAGTACTTCCAAATCCATTTTTAATTCTGCAGATTCCGTATTCCACTTTTTATGACACATGTTAAGGCACCATTCTTGGCTCTGTCAGGTACTGGCCACATCTTATGGAGACTTCATGTGTAGAAGCCACGGTGTCAAAACCCCGAGATCTGATTGATCTATTAATTTTTTTCATTTTACCAGTGATAGAGATTATTTTCTACTGACTTCATGTGTAGAAGCCACGGTGTCAAAACCCCGAGATCTGATTGATCTATTAATTTTTTTCATTTTACCAGTGATAGTGAATATTTTCCACTGTTCACCACCCAAAACTTTTAAGCCCCGATATAGATGTATGTTAGCCTATTAGTTAATAAATGAGGCATAAACATTCACTGTTGCAAGTAAAATTCTAGCTGTGCTTTGAGTGCTAGATAGTACGTAGCAGTACTTGGCTCTTGGCGTTGGTACTGATGCACTGTAGCTGCATTTGTGCAACACAGGCCCCATTATTGTTCACAACTTTTGTGGCATAATTTCTATTATTGGCAAGCAGTGCTTTCAGGATGATAGTTCTGATCACTCTAGTTTGTAAGCAAGGAGTAAAATGTTTGCAGCATCCTCTAATGGTTACACAAGACCCAAAACACATTGTATTCATCTGAAATCACACTTACACAAATTACTAGAGCACTAGCAGACCATTCAAATTTTGCCTAGTGTTAAATGTTGGCATTGGCAATGCTATGGCATATTTGGGACCGATGGACTAAATTAGTGCATAACATAGTCTTTACGAATGTCATGTAAATAATGACGGTTGCTGGCAATTTTCATTACTGTACAATAAGTGTACCAGCAGGCACTGACTGCCTCTTTTATGCCTTGTGATTTGCAGGAATGGGCGAGCAGGTGAGCCGAACCCATTTGAGGAAGACCACGAAGATTGGGACGAAGAGTCAAACGACGCACTTGTTGACAATGGCGAACCGGGTGTGCCCGTCAGGGCACTCTACGACTATGATGGGGCTGAAGCAGATGAACTATCTTTTAAACAAGGTAACCCGTCAAACTGCGATTTCACGTGTAAGCTGGAATTTGTGTTGCATTCTCTGTGCTTTCACGCTTGGAATATTTGCTTTTTGGTAGTGACTGTTCTTCATTGGATGATCACTTGACCACTCTTACAATCTGTCTCGGTGCAAGGCGTGCATACAGGAATGCAAAATTTTGTGGCCGTATTGAACAGTTCATTATTGAAGGCCTTGCGCAGTCATTGAGAGTTGCTGCGAGTCATTGATAGAACATATGTATCAAGTTCAAAAGCAATTTGATGGAAGACTGTCTCGTTACACAACCTTTGTTGTGTCTCTTAGGGGACCAGTTTGAAAAGCTAGAGGACGAAGACGAACAGGGCTGGTGCAAAGGCCGGAAGGACGGCCGGGTTGGCCTCTACCCCGCCAACTATGTTGAAGTCATCGTCCCCTAGATGCATCGAGAGCCGAGCCGAGGTGGAAGCGGCTCACCGCTGTCACTGAAGTGCCACGCGCATCCGCAGAAGCTCGTGAGCTGCCACTGTCCACCTGGCGTGCTCTCTAGAGGCAAAACAGGTTGGGGTGAAAAAGACTTTTGCGTTGTTTTCGTTTTTCAACACCGGCAACTGTTGCCAAGGGGCGAGTCATCGTCTTCTCCACTTCTTCCAGCGTCTGTGCGCCATGTGCAAGCGGGTAGGCTGCACGGACAAACGCTGGCCGATGCGTGCGTGTGAAAGGTGGTGCACGTTGTTAACGCGTCTACTGTCTCCTGGCGCTCTTGTTTGCTTCGTCACTACGGAGGATGTGTTGCACCTGTTGGTGTGTGCATTGATTTGTTTTTCTTGGTCTCGCGGGCACAGCGTCACTGAAAGGGACTGTTGTACAGTGGACGCGACGTGTGCGTGTTGTGTGGTTTCACTGTCAAGGATATCTGCTGCACTTAATCCAGAGAGAACGAATGGTCACTGCTATGTGTTCTCTTCCATAATAGATGTAGACTGAAGGAGAGAGATAGCGCTTCGCGAAACTTGCGTCGCGCATTGGTCCTCTTGCCCCTGGTAGATAGCAATGCCATCCGTACATACTGGTTTTTCTGCTTTGTTACCACTGCTGATGCGGGGAGGTGGCCAGTGGAAAAGCTTTGTACACATCAGTGGCATTTATTTAACTGCAATGACCTCTCCATCACCTCCCCTTTCTCTCTGTAGTAATCTTCTGGTGTATTGCACAGAACCTTTACTTTATATTTTTTTTCCCCTCTTTCTGTACATACTGTTGCAGTGTCCATTTGCCTGTCGGCATGTTGCAATCGCATGTAAAGAGTTTAACCAAGGAATGTAGATTTCAAAGTTAAAGGCAGTGTGTTTATTTTTCTATCTAAGTTTAGTGTTTTCTTTTATTTATAATCTGGTGGTGCCGTGGTTGTTTTTTATGGCTGGCTTCAATGGCACATTCTTGCAAACCATTCTTGCACTGCTCTGATGATTGTTTTCGCTGCCACAGTGAGACCATTTGCAGCCTTATCGTTTTTCTGTGTTTATGTTCACCGATGACTGTTTCAATGCATTCAGCCACGAAAATGTCTTGCGAGTACAAGCCCGCTAAAAGTGTTGGCAAGTATTCATCGGTGAGCGTGTTCTAGCCATTGCCCACTTTGAGCAACCACGTTCAGCAAGGAAGTAGTTTGTGAACTTATTTTCTTTAACCGGTCATTTTTTTTATGTCCCTTTCCTAGAAAGGGGCCTCCCGTCATTGCTAACCAACCAAATAATGTTGATCTTTCATAGTCATTTGATGTATAGCAACATACTTTTACTGTTCTGGTTAAATTTTTTTTTTTTTTGACACCCAACTTGGGCGAGCCAACAGCATGGTCTCATTACTCGGTGTCGAGGACTGAAGTTGCTGTAGTGAGCTGTCAGATACCTCCTTTTGGTTGTTTGTTTATTTTTCTGTACGGTTTGCACAAGAAGTGCCTTGTATCTATACATTTTTTTACTGCACTCTAGTTACTTTTATGCTGTTTTATAAGTTTTCTACTACTGGCTTCTTGTGTTTCGGTGTGTTGTGCAATTTTGCTTCCACAAGATTTTTCAAAGGATGTGGCCCTCTACGTACCGGTGTTTCTTTCTTCTTTGTTTGTTTGTTTGCAGTTACACTCCTACTGACCTGTTGTAATTTTCAAACATTAGCTGCTAGGCGCACCTTGAGTCCCGCAATTTTATTACACGAAATCATGGAGGTTTCTTTCTATTCTAATGCTGTGTGGTTGCACAGCGGATGTATGGGACTTATCAGTGAGACAACTTTATGCCAAGGCCCCGTAAAACAAACGAGCAAAAAAACACTTACAGGGGTGCGTTGGATAACCTCTCTTTCTTCTTGCCTTCCTTTTTAACGAAGAGCATCTGACTTTAGCCTACGCCATTGTCGTGTTCAATGTTACTGCCAGCAGCGATCTCCGAAGTGAGAAATTTTTTTCTTCTGTCTTGTTTCTTTTTCTTTTGCTGGGTATCCTAACCTGCGTTTGGACTTTACTTTAACAATAATAAAGCACGCTCTGTAAAAACGTCGTGGAAAGCCATACTAAAGGTTACGCAGTTGACCCTGACGTTTGCCCACTGAACTCCGGCTGCAACGGAAAGCATAATGCAGTTTTAACTTCGCAAATGGGTGCCTGAATGATATTTTTATGTACGAAAAGTAGGTAGGGTAAGGAATGTTGTGTCTGTAAGACTTGTACATATGCTACACACTCTTTAGTTCTGTGCCAAGCAAAACTCAAGAGTTGTTTTCCTTTCAGCTAGAGACATATTTTACGCAACTCGTTCAGCCAGCACCTTTTTCTTTGTCGCAATTTTCAGACGGGTTTTATTTGCAGACAGGATTGCCGTTCACTGGTGTGCTTTTCCCTGAAATACCACTGATAGCCAAGGAACGTTTGCATTCTGTTGGAACTTTTTTTTTTTTGTTGTCTGCAGTCCACTCTTTAAGCAGACCTAGCAAAGCTGCTTTCCGCGTGGTCCTGTTGCAATGGCTAGCTTTATTCAAAGCTGAGTTAAGTGAAAACTCTGCTTTGTATTTGTTTTACTTGAACTTGTGAAGTAGTAACACTTGAGACTTGAATACAGTTCTACTGTTGAAAATGAATGCTTTTGGTGTGTGTGCAAGTGAAACTATTGATTGGCTTAGAACACTGTAAATAAAAATGTCTGCGAAAAAAATGGTGTCCCAGCAAGATTACTTGCTTGTTACGTTCATCCTTGATTTAAACTCAAACTAGAAATAAATCAAGAATTTTAACTTTCGTGTTTTATAGCGGTTGAAACGCTACACGAGAACTGAAGTTTAGCCTTTTCCCAAGCGATTAATTCCGTAGGTACTACTTCTACTCGGAGTCGATGCCTTTAAGGTTCTTCATTATGATTTCAGCAACAATTCTGTGTGCAATTCCATTTGTTGCTTGCAAAGAATGCTACAATACCAGATTTGCGCTTCCACCCTTATCTATAAATTACCAAGTTCGAGGACTGTGCATGGCAGTAGCAAAGCTGGCTACGATATTTTGAAACACCTCATTGAACTACAGTGCGCATGAACAATTTTCATGTTGGGGTTTCATTATCAAAGCAAAAGATCAAAAGAACTCCAAATTAACTATTGCTTTGACATAAGAGCTTTATGAGATCTTTTTGACAGAACACGATCGTCCTTCCAGCACTTCAAACCTCTGTCGTGACCCAGAACTCCAGAAATGTTGTACTAGAGCTGTGCGGATAGTAAAATTTTGGTTGTAAAGTGAATTCCAATAATAAAATATAGTAGAAATCGAATCTAACATTTTTTGAATAGTCAAATACTTTAATATTTTTTTAATACGTATGTCGGAGCTAACATGAGAAAGATCCAGCCCTGACAGCGTTAATTTTTCAAACAGATTTTTTATCGCGCTGCACCTGCCGCGCGGCACGCCCACTTCTTCTTCCTTGACGAGCGCCGCATTCTGAGGCGCCACAGGGCTCCCCCCCGCCCCCCCCCCCCCGTAGCGCTTTGCGCAAACGAGAACATATGTGCAAATAAAAAAAAGATGCAAAGAGACGGTCCGCAAAGTGTCTGTTTGGGAAGTCCATGTTGTCAACGGGAAAAAAACATTGGGTGTTTAACAGTTCCGGTGGGCGACACTGGGAGACACGAAGTGGGCGAGGTGCGTGCCGAACAGATCTGGATACTTCAGTGAGGATGGTGCGGAGCGTGATGATGCCTCGTGAGGGCAGGTGTCGCAAGTGTTCATGAACGTTGTAGGCACGAGCGTTGTTGAGAATTTGACGCTGTCTGCATGAGGTGCGGCAATGAGCATGCTGGTCGATGGTCCTTGAAACGGCATGCCGGAAGAAAGGCTCTGCGCTGCACACTGCAGTTTCCGACGGGCTGTGGACACGTCGGCGGACAAGTACGTTGAATAGCAACGGGCTGGTGGCACGAGCACAAGGTGTGCATGGTTTGCAGCGACGCTGGTACATCTCTGGCGTGTGCTGAAGGAAAAGGCCCCGGACTCGAGCAGCACTGATCAGAACCGCTGTGTCGTCTAATGTCATGCGGAAAGTGCTGATTGATTTCAAGCTCTTCAGCGCTGTTCCTAAAGATGGCCGGCAGCAAGTCGGGATCCACAGGAGACTTAGTCTGTACCAGACCATGGCACGCTACGTATGTGGCTACGTCACCATCTATGTTAGCCGCCACAGGAGCTCTTGAGATGGGGATGGCATGCTGGCCACATGATTGCGTAGCCGGGGAGTTGCAATCGGGTAACTTCGCCATGGTCATAACTGGAGCGTCATTCGCAGTCGTTGCAATGCTGGCGGTAGCTTTGCTGCTGGTGTGGGAGACGGCAGCTGGTTCGGTTATGGTGCCGCACGTGGTGTCGGTGAACAGGTTACAGGTAGCGCAGGTTTGGGTGTCGCACACGACGTCAGTGGGCGCTGAAGTCGTCATGTTCAACGACGTGTCCACAGGTGCCAACCGGTACCAAAGGCCGATCTTTGGGCGGTGTGTACTGCGATACGTCAGTGGAGTCGGTTGGGGTAGGAAGGTCGCCTACCTCGTTGTTGTAGCGTAGCCCTGAACGGGATGAGGTCGAGGGGAACCGCGAGGAAGGTTTCATCAGCGTAGATGAAGAAGCACCTTCCGTGTGGTTGGTCCCTTGTCGGAGGTGGTGTTTAGCGCCGCAAAACTGTAGGACGGCATCTTGTAGTCTGTTGGAGTCTGTGGGATTGTAGGGTGGAACGTACGGCGTAGTCCAAGGTCAAGTGTAATAGAGCATTGGCCGTATGTGCGAATGGCGGAATAGTTGATTGCTTGGAGCTTTGATGTCTGTTCGTTGCGACCGCGATCTGCACACAGTGGCCAAGATGACACAACCTAGGCTCCTGTGTTGACTAGGAAGCAAGCGTCGGTGATCTTATCAGAAACATAGAAAAGGCGGCTTAATTTTCTACCAGTGTCACCTGCAGCCGTCAGTGGCCGGTCCTCGCATTTCCTGACCAGGAGCACGGGCGAGTGCACTTGTGAGCAGAGGCACCGAATTGGTGGTGGTACCAGCACATGGTTGAGGATGAGACGTCCCGCAGCGCGTCGGTTGGCCGAAGTTCCGGAGAATGTGGGGGTGTCGAGGAGCGACTGTGTATTTGGAACCTGGATGACAGTCGACGATGCGCAGGTACCAAGTCATCGAGGCGCCTGACAAGGGCGTCCAAACGGTTCTCGATACTCGCGAGTGCTGGGTCTGCAGCGGTGGCCGGTGGCGGTGTGGTGACGGCGTTGAGGCTAATGTGCCCGCGAGTGGTCCGCCACTCGGTCAGCCATTTCAGCAAGTGTGTCTACTGGGACATCTCCTGCAGCTACGAGGACAGGGACCATACTCTGCGGTAAATGCTGGAGGAACAACTCGCGTAACATCTTCTCCTCTTGGGGCGTAAAAGAGCTGCCAAGGAGCTAGGCGCATGCGTGTCGCAGGAGCTGTGATGGGCGACGGTCACCGAGCTCTGTAGCCGTGATGAGCTGTTGTAGTCTGCTGTGTTCGGACTCAGACTTGCGGGAAATGATAGCTGCCTTCAACCTGTTGTAGGGATGGCTTGGGTGTGGCGACGCTAAAATATAGGCTAAGTCGTCGGCTACGTCCAGAGGTAAGCAGGACACCAGATGCCAGTACCTGGTCGTTGTCTGGTGATTTGCCGTAGACAGAAGTGCGCCTTGACCTGCAGAAACCATGTGCTGCGGCTGTTGGGCCAAAATGGTGGCAGGTTGACATGTTTAATCACAGCCACTGCAGCACCGCTAGGTCTGGCGTCTTCTTGGGCGTCTGGACCGGTAGGATTGGTGGCAGAGCCGGCGGGATCCATGCGGGATGATCGGGGCTGTGTGTTCTTTATCGGGTCACCATTAACTGTTGGAGCTAACATGAGAAAGATTTAGCCCTGACAGCGTTCAGTTTTCAAACTGATTTTTTATCGCGCTGCACCCGCCGCGCAGGCCCAATGCCCACTTCTTCTTCCTTGACGAGCGCCGCATTCTGAGGCGCTACACGTATTTCAGTGTGAAATTACTGAAAATAAACATGTTGCAGAGGATCTCTAAGCATACTTTTATGAGATGGGAACATGTGTTTCTTTTGGCTAGGTTGAAGTGCTGAAAGGAGAGTTGTTTTATCAAAAGATGTTGCAATGCAGAGACCGAATTGTATTTATTTGTATCATTTGGTGCAGCCAATGTGGTGTCGACAACACTTTACACATGACAGGTAAGAATTATTTCCTCCACCTTCCCCTCCCTCTTCAACTTCTGTGGAGGCCCAACTGATTTGGCAAGCAAGAGTGTGCGCTCTTCAAATTCTGAATTTCTAATCTCCCTGTTGAAATCAATGTACAAGAACATGTGGTATTTCGGATGCTGAAAATCGTCATACAATTTTTTTGTACTTTGTGGTCCGCAACAACATTAAAAGTGACTGTATTTATCTTGGGCAAGTTTGAATAGTTCATATGCATAGTAAAAGTCAGGTGTGAATTGAATTGAATGGCATACAATATTAGAAAAATAGTGGAAAGTTTGAATATTCACATACCTTTAGTTTTATTACACTTGCATACCAAGTCTATACTTTCCAATGGTGTCTCTGTAGATGATTGATAAGCACAATGGACGAAAATAATTTTTTGTACCCTCCAACACCAAATTTTCCGATCAGATCATTACAGAAAATGTTGCAGAGCATTGTCCTATCACACTTTGCAATAGAATAGGTGGGATGAAGAGTGCTGTACTCTGGTAACAAGTAACATAGCTCAACTCTCAAGCACCAAACTCGGACAGATCAGAGTCTCTCTCGAAATAGAAGGTATTGAGGACATGGAGGTAAGGGCACAGAGCTCTACTTACAGGGGCCCTGCAACACTTTTTGAGCATGGTCGGAAAACGCTGCCGATCGATTGCAGAGGCTCCCGACAACAAGCGAGCCAAATATTATAGCGCAGCATGCGGCCTGGAATTCACAATAAATTACAAAACTCTGCTAAAAATTGCTTTCTCTTCTCTCGACAAATGTCAAAATAAGCTCAAAAATGGCACATATCAAACCCATCTATCGGCCATTGGACTGATTCGAACATGGCACACGCGGTCGTTACAGAGAATTGCTGCGGGAGGCTGTGGCTTGTCCATGCGTGCACACGTGATCACCCTGACAAAGCTGCGCATTCGAAGAAAAAAAAAGAAAAAAGTACTCAAGGTCATGAGCCTTCAGTGACGTAGTTTTTTTGCCCCCGTCATACCTTCCCTGCTTAGCTTTCAGCGCTTTCGGCACGACGAGAGAATGCGATTGCAGCGAGCGATAAATATTTGTAACTCCACTCGCAGCTGGACGGTTTCTTAAATTTTTTGCGGCGCTCAATTGGTAAGGAAATCAGCTCTTCCAGTGAATTCATTCCATAGTTACTTGAAAAAAGAGTTTCAGGGCCCCTTCAAACAGTCACTAAAGAAAATGAATTTTCTATATATCAAAGCACTCACTTCTTCCACGAGTTTCTTTTAAAAGCCAGAAAGACATGAAAAGAAACAAAAAAAGCAGTGATCAAGTGGCTAGAGCATCCACATCCGATGCAGTAAATACTGGGTTTGATTCCTAGTGTCATTGGGCACCCATCCATTTTTCTAATGTGGAGAGGGGTGTCTCGGCCTGGCGCTCGGTGTTGTGGGTATTCGTTTCTTCTGAGAAGGTGGCCATTTCCCCCAAACGAAGCTGTTCCGCACTCTCTCATTGGCAGAGATCAGCATCTTGCCTTTTGTCAAACTATACAGTGACTTTACTGAAGAGTAAATAAACTTGCCGTAAAAAACCTAAACAAGCGCCTACGTCCCTTTAAGAGATTCCAAATACGTGGCATTTTCTACCCTCCCACTATTTTCACCGTTTCCTACCCTGTTTTTAGTCTCGCAACGAGGGCGAACGAAAGCAGCAAATGCATGTGTATTCACTAAAGCATTTCATTGGAAGCACGAGTGGGCATTCTTTATTGTTAGCAACTGTTTCGCCACCATATTGAACTTAGATTTTTGACCAAGCGAGGGCCACTCCTCCAGATCTTGTCGAATTATTGGTCATCATGGAGGGGGCAGGGGGCTTGCTCGAGATTTTCAATAGTTGGCTGATCTATTACACTGTCATGCTTCAAGCACACAACTCTGACTTTTAGTGGCATGAAATATCAAATTCAATAAGAACCTGATTATCCCTTTACCACTATCCCTGGAGGGGAATATTTTTAGAAGTTATGTGTGCTGGAAATGTCGGTGACAGCTCTCAATATAAGCAAACACTTCTAGAAACCTATTTCTATAAAAGAAAAAACACCCTTGGGAGAGAACATTGGTTGTGACGATACTTGGGTCACATTTGTTGTTCTACCGTGCAATTTAATATGGAACACAGAGGTCATTTGCACACCCGTGACATTAGGGACCTGCAAACTTGGGCCCGTGCAATGCCTTTCCATGTACACACTATTTCTGAAGAACTCTTTTGAAACAACTGACTGAAGTATTGTGCTGCCCCCTCCCCCCCCCCCCCCTCCATTTTACAAGGACAAAATTCAGATTTAGTTTAGAATATACACTTTTACCGTATTAAAAAAAGCCCTTAAAACTTTATTGTCGCAGCTAAAGAGTGCTTCATGTAGTAACTTTATTGTACCATGAAGCTGCTCACACAACTAGAGCTGTAGCTTTATATTTATTGTGCATTCAGATATGTACATAATTTACAAGAGTATAGTAGCAGTGATTAATGAGAGCATAACGCAAAGTGAATACACGTAAATAATTGAGGTAATATGGCAGTTAAGTAACAATGAGGAATTACTGAGGTACATATGGCAGCCAAGCAAGAGAGAAAGTCTTGGTGCCGTTTTAGTCATCATTCATGTACTTCATCCGCAACTTATCTTTGATGAGAACTCCTTTGATTAGCTTCTTCCAATTTCCATATATCCTTTTCAGCCGTTTCTGAAATGATAAGCCACATAAGAAACACGTTAGTTTCAGCAATTTAATATCCCTCGTAAAATGTCTAGGAACTGAATGCCATATGTTCACAGTGCCACAGAGAGAATGGTACAGTATATGGAAAGGCTTGTAGCCCTTAATTGCCCTACACTGTACTGGTAAATAGAATACCTAAGCGACTGCCACACATTTATGCAACATGAAAAGTAAACTTAAAACATAAAAAAATTGATGCTATATCGTTTCTTATACGGCACTGGAGAGGAAACAATGGATGCCGAGAACTGTTTGACTCTTGTTCGTCTCAATGATCGACACCTGAAATCAAGCTTGTGCCTTGCACACTGCCACCACCACAGCACAGCATCAGACATGCAGTTGCTAGACTCTGAAGACAAAAATGTTTTAATAAGTGCAGTATGAAGAGCTTTCCCCTCATAGTATTATTCAACTGCCAGCATTATTTGTGCTGCTTCTAGGGACATTTGCGGGGGCGAAGTGGGTTGAGAGATGTGGATGATGGCTAGCATGGTTCACACGTTTGTTTGGCAAGTTAAACATCACTTCTTCCAGTTGACAGCATGTCCGCTAGATGCGGCGTTTTGAGAAAATTACAACAGATTCATTACTTTTTGCCAGAAAACAAGGCAGTGTCAACCAATTCTGGCACCCAAGCTGAAAATCTCAGCAGGAAAAGTTTTGTTTAGTATTCCTTGAAGGAAACCCCAACACATACCTCTTCTTCACGGTTGCTGATGTTCGCTTGTTCCTCTTCCCAAGCAGCCATCAATGTATCCTTGAATTCTTCGCACACAACCCATCCGTCGAACCTAGAGAAACAGCAGTCACTTAGCCTATAGTTCTTGTCACTCATTGGGTGAGTGAAAGATGCTTAAGAAGATAGTGGATGGATGGACAGGCTGTTCATATTAGTCTTTCAGCAGGAAAACTTGACGACTAACATTAATTCAAAGAACGAAAAGATAATGTTAAGCAACTCTTTTTTTTTTTTTGTGCATCCGCTTCGCCTGCTGAATTACACTAAATTCCTCTAAGCATGAGTCTGCAAAGTGCTCCACTGTTTAGGAAGCAGCATAACGCAAAATGAGCTTCAAACTAGTTTGTGACAACTTACATAACGCACGACACTTACACGGGATGGACGCCACGACAGTGTCCTTCGAAGCCAACGACAGCAGGAACACAATCAATGTTCAGCTTGGAAGCTACACGAGCCAGCCCAGGTGCTGCACGAGAACTGTCGTAAGTATGCCATAAGCAGCAGATGCTTGAATGTACAGAAGGCAAAAACAGCTCATCACGTGCAAGTATCTGAACATTTCTATGGCCTAGGTCCACAGCCTGGAATCCAGATCTGCAGTCTGCACTAGCACAGGTGCCCAACATAGTTATCCATGACTATATCTAATAACCAAGACGAAGCAGGAATACTGCAGCTTTATTTTTAGTGCTTGCATTCTTTGTTTTTACCAATATGATCAGTGCAAATAGAAAGTTGATTTTTTTTAACACAATTTCTAGCTACTTGTGATGCTATATTTATTCTGCTTTTCAAGATTAAATTTACCGCTCTATAGTTTGGGAATACACGCCAGCGGTAAGAAAATGGTGCAAAAATATTTTATTACGTAACATGAACTTGGCCAGAATAATGCCATGGGCTCAATTGTTTCAACTATATAATTTATTAACTATAGACAAAGCAGCTAATGAAAACTCTTCTGTTTTCTGTTATTCCCCTCCTTTATCCAAAGAGATACTGTATTTACTTGCATAGCGATTGTACTCGTGTATTGACTGCATCTCTGAATACTGTCAACAAAATTTTGTTTTTTATTCTTCCCACATCCAAACTTAAGTGATGGCAGTTCATATTTCTGTGATGAAACCACATGTACCATCGTGAACAATATGAGTGCGAACATGCGAACGCATGGCGAATAGCCTCGAAATGTACATCGGCTGATTTGCAGCGGCTGCTGTCGGAAGCAAAGTGGAAAGGGCGGCGAACTTCTGGTATCTGTCAACACTTCTGCCTAGGCATCGTCAATGCAAAACGGCGGCTTAATGCATGTTAGTGGCTGCCAGCGGTGATGTGAGCTCGCATAACGCACACAGTCGCACCGAATCGCCTATGTAGCTGCTGAGATATCGGCTGTGACATAGGCTGCAGTGATGCCATGCCTCTATTATATGTAGGTGGTGTTGGATGCGCATGTTGGTGCACGTCTTTCACCTACTTTGTTTTTCGTGCATTTTTCTTTTTGTCATCATCGCAAGCGGCAGATTGCACGCAATCATCTGCCATTCGCCCACAGTGCTGGAGCAAGAGTGCCAACGGGCAGAAGAAGAGCACCGTTCATTTCCTATTCGGTTTAGGCAGCACCATCCACGTATCACATTATCTTGGTTTTGAGGCTACTTTCCACGTGCTCACGTGTTCTAGCTCATATCGCTCACAATAATACATCATAATTTTGTGAAGTGGCCATAGTGTGGTTGCACCTTGCTTCACACTATTGTGCCATTCAGTATATAATTTGCACATAAGCCATTAAAGGCCACTGAGTGTGCACTCAAAAATGGGAGTGTCCTGCATAGCTTGTATACCGGTAAAACTGGATGCACCGTTTGATGCAGCTGCATGATGATGATGAAAAAAATGTGGTTTGTCACCTAGCTTATTACAGTGGTTTTCGCAATCACTGGCATAGGGATGTGGCATCCCTGAAGCAGTTCATGCAAAGCAAAGTGAACGTGTGCCATCAATTCAAGAATAGGCCTGACTTAGCCTTATTCATCTGTCATGCATACAGTAGCCATAATAAGAATTTCGACTAGCACTTTAAGTTTCACATGACACTTCTGTCCCACGTGTGCTACGGTACGAGGAGTGGTATGATCGTTTAGCCAGATTGGAAGCTTGAACACAACAATGGTACGACTTCCACTGAAGGTGTTGCCTCCACGCGTACCATGTAAGAAGGGTTCCGAGTTAAACCCTTGCGGGTGCGCCCACTTAGCCTTGCAGGATTGATTGTTGTTGGACTTTACATTTCGGAGAAAGTCTCTTCGGCATCCACAGATGTCACTGAAGACTCATCACCTTCCCGACTCTCCTCCTCGTCACTTGCGGAAATCGTATCTCAACTAAGCCTACCAATCACACTCTCTCTCAAAGAGCGAATTATTAACATGGTCTTTGACCATGCAGGTGGTGTCCATTGCCACATCCACTGGTAAACATGAATCAACGGCCACCACCTCAATGCTTTCCTTATGGCACTCACCTTCATCACACGGGTAACTTTCAATCACTGGAGCAGTTGAACAACAATCCTACCTATTCTTCATAACGTGCTTGGCCTCTCAGACGTGTTAAAGCACACCTTATTGTCAATGAAACTACCATTTTCCATGCTTGAGAAGCTGTCCTTCACTTCATCAACCCCATATTGTAGGCTCGTGTGCTCGGATTTGAGTGGACGTTAAAGAACTCCAAGTGGTCCAAATTTCCGGAGCCCTCCACTACGGTGTCTCATAATCATATCGTGGTTTTGGGACGATAAACCCCACATATCAATAAATCATTTCATCAAGCCCTGCAAGACTCCTGCTTCCTTGGCTGCCCACCTCTTTGTGATTCTTTACTGAGCTCCTGGCTCTTAAGTGAGGCTATCGTGAGGCTCAAGTCCAACCTTGCAGCAATCCAATTCGCTTCAGCAAACACTGCTATCGGAGCAAATGCTACCACCTGGTTACCCCTCTGTATCTCTAACTGCATCTTTCTGACCATAGGAAGTTTTAGTCGCCGCTCAAGTTCTCGCCTTTCTAATTCTCATTCCTGTCTCTTGACCATAAGCTCAGATTCCAGCTGCACTGTCCTAGCTTTTAGTCTTAATTGTAACTGCTTTTTCTTAGCCTTTAACATCATTTCGAGCAGCTACTGCTTTATTCTTGGTTCTGCAGCCCTCTCCTCTCGCTCCATCTACTCCTCATACCATATCATAGCAAACAGGATTGCATTCCCAAATTATGGCCAACTTAAAAAAAAAAGTGCCATCATTATGCAAGTGAATGCAGTATCTGGCTTGACAGTGTGGGTGAGAAGTTGAATAGTACTACACAGACAAACATGATGATAAACGGCTGCAAGCCATGGACTGTTTCAGATAGTCCTTGCTCGACATTTGATGTTTTTGTAATTAAGACATACATCTTAGGCATAAGTGTACTTAGTTACTTATTAGAAGTGTACTTAGGCATAAGTATGTACTTATGAGATTGATCTGAACCTTGCCGTTTTGCAATTCTTGTAGCAACCAAACACTAGCAATACCCACATTCATTACATTGATATTTGTCTTAAATCTTAAAAATAGGTGACGCAACTTTCCAGATAGCAAAAGTTTTTGTTTATAAACTCTGAGTGACTGTCAAACCATGCACAATTAGCAGAATGAATCAGTATGTCACTGACCCCTGAGGTGCACAGTGCCAACAGGAAGCATGCAGCTCTTGAAGAGTTCCACATTGCCCCACTCGTTGCGGGGCACTTTGCCGTTGAAGGCAATGGGTGGCATGTATGGCTCAGTCTGCCAGAGGCCAAACAGTTCCAGGGGCTGCTCCTTGAGTATCTGCCCAGACAACTGCATTCCAAGAATATTACCACAGTTTAGCTTACGTGTGTACATTACTAAAAAGCATGCCAGAGACACAAGTGACTAATCTTGTCAGCTGTGCCTGATTCATTGTTACTGAACTACGTTGCATCAAAGAGCTCAGTATATGCACCTCAAAAAGCTGACAAACCTGTGCTGAAATGAGGCAACATTGTTTTGGGGTAGGATAGCCTCAAGCATAGAGCTGCCCATAAATACATTAGACGGAACTCTGGCGCTAATCCCTATGGAAGCTGCGGCACACGGTGCTGCACCTAGCCTGGGAATTATAAGTAGAACACAAATTTGTCTATCTCCATTCTTTCAGCTTCATTTGGCTCCGCATGGTCTGAATCTGCTTTGCTGCAGGACAAAGTTCAGCAAAAGTTTAGCTGTCTCACTTCACCACCTTGACCTTTTTAGGCTCACCAATTCAATTAGGTTCATGTAGCTTTATTAGAAAGAAAACCAAAACACAACATTCAACAATGTCACAAGCGCATTCAAAGCCGTCAGCATGAAGACTAGGCAAATTTGTGTACTATACCCATCACTTCCATGGTGGCTGAACGATTGCAATGGCAGAGTTCCCTCTAAGAAACTCTATGGCCTCAAGGACAAGAAAGTTCGTGCTATCTTGTGTTTACTGTAGGTATGCATGAAGTGGCACAGATTGCCATTTAATTGACTGTAACATATACTGCTGTGCTTTAAGTATACATCTTAGCAGTGCTTTGCTTGATATCTTATCAACCTGCTCATGGTTCTAAACGGACACATCTCCATACCTTGTCGTACTTTGGCCTGGCCTTGACAATTTTGTATGGCTGCTCCTTGACTCGCACCATGCGTGCTTCTCGAAGCCACGTTTCCCTTGAGCGCAGCGTGTGGATGCACTCTCTCGCATAAACTGGCTCTCCTCGTACAAAACCAAGAGTTGGGGCATCTGGCGGATAGATGGCTTCAAACTTCAACAGGTGACGCTTCAAGGCATACAGAGGGTGGTTCTTGAACCTACATGAAACACAAAAACATATTTTACTACCCAAATTTCTTCTATAGATGTATACAAGAGCAAACTGATGACAGATCATTCGTTACAATACTGCCTGACAAAGCAACACAGGGCAAAGGATTAGTGCATCTGAGAAATGATGGTAAAGGTGCTCACTAAGTGTCCATAACTTGAACAGCGCTTACATATGCTGGTCTTCTGAGCGAACATTGAAGCCCGCACTGCAGAACACACATAGTGTGAAAGTAAACCTTTAAGTTCTGGCACTGCACGAATAACTGCTTACACTTAGCAACATTTCTGTGCACCAAGCAACATTGCTGTGCAATCAATACCCTACTGTAGCAATAATATTGATGCTATAACGACGCTACTACATGTTTAGTCTTTGAAAAAGCAAGGATAGTGGCTATGGCGACAACATGCACTTCTAAAGAGCAATTTAAACTGATTTATATCAGTATTTACTTCAGTGTACTGAAACTAGCGTCTTAACCATGAAAAATAAAGATAAAAATCTACATCCAGATTTTATACATGAAATCTTCCCAGGTGACCCTAGGAAGGTCTCTGCAATTCTACGTTATTCCCATTTTATTTGACCAGACTCCTGCAATAGTGAAAAAATGAAATATTTCTACAGTACAAGTACCTAGGTTTTATTCATGTACAACTGAAAATAATAGGTTTCACATTGAATATTTTAATAGAAATAAAAAAAAAACAGCACAGATAAGATCCGTAAGGTTTGAGATTGCCGTGCCTTAAGAGTGAGGCAAGTTTTGAACAAGCAATATTTTAAGCTAACAGCATTTCCAAGGAGTACAGCATTTTTACACGGCATGAAACCGAAGACAAACTTACTCAGCAATGCTTGCAGGCATTGGCTGTCGTTGAAGCTTTGACTGTATTTGGATATTTTCTACACGCTCTCGCTCACAGTCACTGGGACTGAACGGCTTTAAAGACTCCTCCCACCATTTCGTATCAATCCTCTTCTTCTTCACTGTTGTTAACCAACCTGAGGCATATTTCCTTGTAACGTCTTTCACCTTGTCATGGTTATCAAAGCTGAGAACATAGTACAACGGCTCTCTAATGTTGCTCTCCTTAACGCTGCCAACTGATCCATGGACTACGTCAACTGCAATCCATTTTGAATCCTTTGGGGTAAACACTTCAACCCAGTGCTCGATGCTGTCGCTTATGTCTTGTGCAAGTTTTTGTGAATTTTCTTCAGCAGTCTTTTCTTTCTTCCCGGATTTCTTCCCAGATTTCTTGGTTGACGAATCGTCGCAAACCTTTTTTTTGCTCATTGCCTTTTTTGGTTTTACAACTTCGAAGTCACTGTCCGCCTCATCAGATTCGCAGTGCTCTCCTTTAGCCTTTTTTTTGGAAGGAGTTTCGATCTCGGTGCTTTTTTTCCCAGGTTTTACGTCTGTCTTCAGCAGCTGAACAGCATCGAGAGGCACAGGATACAAGACATGCACAAACGAGCTTCAATCTGCAAGCACCTTACAATCACCAGAAATAGAAGAGCATAATCTCTCGCGTTTTGAGCGATCTTGGTTGTTAGTGCCATTTTAAGGTCATTGTAAAGGGCACGACAACTAGTGTAAGGACCTAACTTGCACACAAATGCTTTGATAAACAGCCTAGACATGCGCTCGATATCCAGAAGCGTGACTGTTTTGCCAGTGTACATCATGAACTCGGAAGGAAGCAAAGAAAGTGCCACCCCGTGCAGAGTTTGGTCCAGCATAAGGCTGTTCAGCCTCATCCCATGTGCCAGGAGACAGAGAAGATGCACCTTGTGTTTCAGGACATGGATTTCCTTGCGCACTCTGTTAATCCGACGCCTCATCTCTGCCACCGGATCAAACTTTGATTTCTTGCGTTTTCCCGTCATCACGGGCTCCTTCAGTGTGATTGTGATTCCATCTTCGGGAACAACAGGTGCATAGTTGTCGAGGTCTGCTCCTTCTGGAACTTCTTCCCAGTCAGATTCACTCGAGCTATCATGTTTCTCGGCCTTTATTCTTTGTGGTGTGGTTTTCTTATTTTTCATGTGCTGTTTCTTTACCTCTGGCAACGTTATTGATGAATCGTTTGCTTGACTTTCCGCCATAAGGCTAGTTTTGCCAGATTTCTTACCACTTTTTGCAGACGACACTGAAGACTTAGCGGTCTTCGCAGCTTGAAACTGCTTGCTTCTAGTTTTCACTGGAGACCTACAGTCCAGGCTAGAAGCAGACTGTTTTGCAGGCGGTACTAATAAATTCTTGGCAGCTTTTTTAGATTTTAGCAGTTTGGACTTTGGCGCGTCATTTACAGTGTAAGAGCAAGAGGCCTGTGGTTCGTTTTCAAGCAACATAGCACTGATGACGTCTTTCAAGGATTCAGAAGAGTTGTCGTCACCCATACCTTTCTTCATCATGACATGGTCTACCCGAGTTGACTGCAGTGCTTGATTGGTTGAGTCTGTCGAGTTGTGCTTTTTCGACTGTAATAGGAGACTCTTGCTGAAACCGGGTAAACTTTCAAGCTGAACCCTTCTTTCAGAAGGATTCTTATCGGAACTAAGCATGTTCAGAGTCGTGTTATTGGCTCTTTTGATTTGCGACAGTTTCGGAATCTTGACCGCCTGTATATATTGCTTCTTAGGCGCGGTCGACTTTTTGCGTCTATTTTTGGTGTCAGAACGAGAGTCGCTATCGTCATCGCTTGATGTACCACCCTCAGACAAGTCAACTCCTAAGCACGCGAGCTCAAAAGGCTCATCGGCAGAACTGTCCGAAACATGCGTAAGTTCAAGGCCGATGTGCTTACTTTTCTTCGCCGGGACGTCATCCTCAGACTCATCCGACGAGTCTTGTTTCTTCGGGGGCCTGTATTCGTCCTCTGACGAAGAGCAATCCGATACGTACTTTTCATCGCTGTCAACATCCATATCTTCATTGCTCGATTTCGGCACAGATGCTGGGGTAACATTCTTGTTAAGCAGCCTAGACGATCGCCTTGTGGCCATTGTGTAAGTTTCCGGCGGCGACACGCTCCTTTTCACACCAGAACACTTGTGGAGATGAGACAGGTCAGCTAGATTGCAGCAATTATCGGAAGTTCACGCAGCAGTTAAAGAATGTCTAACATTTGTTCCTCGCGCACATATTCAAATGTGAAAACAAATAAGCACGCACGCGCATAATCTTGGCATCAGTCGGATCACGCTGCCCGTTTCGCATAGCAACAACCGAAACATGTTTCAACTTGTCTTACATTGGTGGATTGGATCGGCTACTATCAGCTTTTTTTACTAAAAATATCTGCGATTGTTTTTTAAGAGAGACAAAAAATAACAAATTTTATACTTTTAAACAAACTGTTAGGTTTTTAAATATTACTTACATGAAAACACGACCAAAAGCTTTGGACCATTCGCCATGACCTCAAGATCTAAAAACATGTTATGGCACAACTGTCTGCTTCAGTTTCGGAACTGTACGCAAGTGCATGGTGGGGCTTCTCTGGACTGGCAAAAAAGGTTGTTACACTGTGATATAAAACCTGTGAAAGACGTCGGCAACGTCGGTAATGTGCACTTATTGCACTTATGCTCAGCCGTAGCATCACCACGCTGAGAATTGTTCAGCTAGCTTTCACGCCAGCTTCTCTACAACTGTTGTTTGGATGCGCTAATTGTTTCCATTGTTTGTTCGGTGAGAAAAACATGACATCCGTGGCATTATTTATTGATTTTCAGGCGCATGGTCTTGTAACCGGGTGCGCGAATCAATGACTGCCCGAGTAAGTAAATAAACTCTTATTTGGTCCAGCAAAACGTGATAAAACGCGTATCTAGCTAATCACACAACGGGATTGACAGGTCTAGCATGCCGGCGCGCGCCCGCTGGAAGACCGAGATTTGGTCTCCATAGATGTTAATTCGCAGGACTATGCCCACTCTTCTTTTAGTGAACTTTGCCCGACGACTCGCATTTCCAGATGGTGTGGCTAGAAGCCTCGCCACAGGCCACGCAACAACTTAGTGGTTAGAAGATGAGAAAAGGCACCTAATTTCTGCAACCCGGTCGGGAGCACGGCGCAGTGCCTCACGCAACAACTTAGTCTGAGTGGTACCGCGTGTGGCCTGCATATAGCTTGAAATGCGCGTGGTAATCTAGAAAACGCAAAAAAACAAAAAAAAAAAACAGGTAACGACGTCACTTTAAATTTCCTGCCATGGCCTCCGAGACTGCACGCTCTCGGAGGTTATGTTTTCGCGCAGGTGGCTGTGACGGCATCTGCTAGTGCATACGTTCTATCTCAATCGGTAAATATGAAGTGCATTGTGACCCTTAAGAGCCAATGGCTTAAAATACCAAGTTTCAGGACACTTCGTTTATCCAATAAAACCATAATACGAAAGAAAAAAAACGCAAATGGTTTAGAATTTTTGACGTCACCATCAAGGATATCAGTGAAAAATTTAACAGTGACTCTTTCGACATTGATTTTCTCACCTATTTGAGAACCTATAGGATGGCGAAATTACCTATAGTAGCATCTACAGCCTATAATTTAATAAATATCTCTAGTGTCCCTTTAACGTTGTACAGGTCAATTATGGTGCTGTGTGGCGAGAGTAATTAGCCCTTTCTTAGTCAATGATGTAGATATATACCATGGTGTGTTAGTGTGAACAGCGCGCCTTTTTCGCTCATTAATGGATAGATGAATGAATGAATAGATATGGTTGTACCCTTTAGATCGGGCGGTGGCTAGCGTCACCAAGCCGTAATACTTAATGAACCAAAAACTAAATTTATTTTTTTTTCTTTAAAAAATGAATTTGAGGATTCGTACTTCGCAGTGAAGGGTTAAATTTTCACTCGTGTTTTGACTTTGGCTACCAATCTTACTTGGCATGTGCTGCCACGTTGCGGAAATACATAATACTTTTTTCTTGCAATATAAGCTGAGGCGTGTTTCTAAAGGGGGAATGCAAGTTTAATGTGTGTGTGTGCGGGTGGGGGGGGGGGGGGTAATTAAAGCGCGGGATTTTCGTCGGCAGTCGCTGTCTCTCAAGACCAGTGCTGCACGCGTAGTTTTTTTTTTTTTTTCAGTTGGCATTACGCGACTCCTCGCGCGGACACCGCCTTTGCAATGCTTCGCGTGCGTTCATTTTTGAAAGTGGCGGCGACACTTTCAATGTGATTGCCTGCTGTGTGACCCCCACCTCCTCTTCGCCGCTTGTCTTAACGACTCTGAGGGTACTGTAATAAATGAATAAATAAAGGGCAGGCCTCAATATGCTGCAACTTCATTTACATGATTATGCTGTGATTAAATGTTCTAGCGCCCCGCAGCGGTGGTCTATAGGGGCTAATGTACTCAACTGCTGACCCGCAGGTCGCGGGATCGAATCTCGGCTGCTGCGGCTGCATTTCCGATGGAGGCGGAAATGTTGTAGGCCCGTGAGTTCAGATTTGGGTGAACGTTAAAAACACCAGGTGGTCGAAATTTCCGGAGCCCTTCACTATAGCGTCTCTCATAATCATATGGTGGGTTTGGGACGTCAAACCCCACATATCAATCAATTAAATGTTTTTGCAGACATCCAGAAGAAACAAAAAAAAGCATTTCAGTATCTGTATTGCGGTGCCTGTATTTTGGAATACTTTTTTTTTTAACCGAAAGCATCTCCGAAATGTTTCGCTACTTCAAATGCAAAAGTATCTTAGTATCTGTATTTTTGGCTTCCAACGAATCTGTTGCGGTATATATCTGTATTTCGGAATACTTTTCCGAGTGTTTAAGCCCAGCACTGCATTTTTGTTACTGTATTGTGTTTTTTTTTCTCCCCGGGGCACGATTATGCCCGGTTTCGTGAAGACGCTGACTCATGCAAACGATGCCGATGTGGAGGCGTTTACTGTTGGAAGGAGTTCGTCAAAACCGCTTCCGCGTCGGTAGCGAGAATACAAAAGACTATTTTATAGTTTTCCGACTTTTCGCTTGTCGGACGCACCCGAAACCATAATTTATTTTTTTTCAGTGCGACCCTCGCGCAGTTCGCTTGCGCTGTGGAGGTGCAGCCCGGTTTTTCTGCTGGAAAAAAAAAAAAGCCGGCAGTAACGACGCAATACACGTTTCCAGTTTGAGAACGGCTTTATTATAAAACATATATAGAGGCAAAATGGTTTTAGTATTGAGCTCATTTTATCACAGCTTGTGCATTAAGCGAACACAAAACGACAGCACGCATCAGCGCGGGTTGACACATTGTGTTCAAAACGCATTTCATAGTTACATCTGGCTGCACGAGAGGCTGCGATACATACATTGAAGGGAATACAAATATTTCAGTGAGGTAAAAAGACCGGCGAGCGCGCAGAACCGAGAGAGTGCAGGCACTTCGCTTAAGTCACGTGAACAATTATGGGCGCAGATCCAATCTGTCTCGTAATCAATATTGCACGAACAGCCATACTCAAGAAGCTTATACGTCTTTATATGTTACCGCGCTATCAAGAGGAGACTATCCCCCGTACTCACAAACGCTCCTCGACTCGAATTTCACCCTTCACTTGACCGAGTTGAGCACTGCGCCACCACTCGGCTGAAAATGACGCTGCGCTACTAAGAACCGCCGCAGACTATCGCTTATACGCAGTGACTTGCCGTACCTAGAGATGTCACTTCCATCGGCTTTCTCAAGTGAAGGCGAAGTGTTGAGTGAAGGAAGGTTCTAGAATACGGAGGTATGGTACAAAATAAAGTCATCAGAGAATACTTGTGTGCCTAAAATATAGCCTAACACACCTTAAGAAACAATATGAGGTCGCAAGTAAGGCGTGTAAGCGTGTGGAATAATTGGAGTTGACTCGCTCGCTGGATTCCGTGCCGTCCGGTTGTGCCCTCGCGATCTCCGACGTCGGCGTAGCTCTGGCCGACTGGGCTTGCCCTACGTCATCTCCTGACGCCGATCTTCGACGACAGCGTAGCTCTGACCTACTGGACTTTCCCTACGCCGTCTCTCGACGCCGACAAGAGCTCTCACCAGTGGTGCTCCGTCCTCGGACTCCTGCAACCGTGTCCGTCTTTCTTGTCTTCTCCTTACTTCCGTCGTCCGCTGTCCCTACGCCTCGCTCTCTCCTTCCTCTCTCTATATCTCTTTACCTTTTAGTCCCTTCCATACCCCCATCCCTCTTGAGATACTGTTGAGATGTCCTCCCCCTGAGAGACAGTTGCGGGGCTCACTTTTCTCTTTTTTTACACTTAAAATCACTCCTCCCCCCTCTCCTTGTAATTGGAGTTTTACGACCCAGAACCGTGATATGGTTATGCGGGATGCTGCAGTCGAGAGCTCTGGAAATTTAAAATAATATGAGCTTCCCTAACGTGCTCCTAAATCTAAGCACCAAAAATGCATTCGCCGTGACCGGGATTCGATCCCGCGACCTTCGGCTCAGCAGTCAAGTGCCATAACCACTACACAGTGGTTGATTGCACACAGACGAGCACCCTCAAGCAAAAAAGAAAAAAAAAAGTCGTTGCATACACAACGCGCCAGGTTAAACATACTCCAACATGTCATACAGCAACCACAATAAGGCAAAAAAAAGTGTATAAGCATATGAAAACGAACTCGCGCAGCGATAAATATCACCGGTCCAAGGCTTCGACGAGCCTGTAACTGGATGAGTTAACACACGATACTCAGTTCGAACACACTTTGAAATCGCGTGGCACGCATATTCAGAACTTGGGTGCACAGGATATGCCACGTGGCTGTGACATATACGTATAATCGCAATAGAAATGTAAAAGGTGCTCAACAGTCTCATCCGCCGGGCCCAGTCAGTGTAATCAGAGGTATCGGCCTCTGTAGTCATAAGTGAATATGCATGTTGGTGAATGATATAGTTAAAAATTGCAGAAGTTACCCATGCACCCGAGCTCTCTCACGATCAGTTGCATTCTGTAGATCCATCGCTGCGACTGCAGCTGTAGTCTTGCCCAGATCGTAGAAACTTGTGCTGTCTGCATTTAGAGGTATAATGGAAAGACATCCACAACATGAGCGGGATAGGTCAGACGAGAGTTCTGCAACGACGCTGTTCAACAATCAACAGTCAAATGGGTTAACACCGGATAAAAAAAAAGTATGAGCTGAAAGAGCGACCATATGTAGTTTGCGGAAATTCTTTCTTCACATTAAATAAACGTCAGGAATGTACAGCCTCAACGAAAA